TGCTGCCACCGGGCGTCCACGCCTTCGGGACCGCCGAAAACCTCAGCTGGGTGGGCGACCTGTCCCTGCCACCCCACCAGCAAAGCTTGGTTGTCCTCGGGTCCCCTCTCGGCAGCCACGCGTTCACACAAGCGTTCACTCCTGCAGCGTATCCCTGCCGTGCCGCACCTGCAGTCGGCGTGGCTGATACTGCTGCTGTGTGGCGCGCCCCGTGCCAACTACCGTGCGCGCGCGCTGGCGTGTTAGGGCCCCGCAGTGTGCCCCTGGAGCGCACAGCTGCCAGGATCTGCCGCGAGGCTGGCGCCCGTGTGGCCGAGAACGTGCTCCTGCGCGACCTCAACCTCGATGCGCCGGTGCTGGATGACCGCCGCCTGGAGGAGGTTGTGGCCAATGCCCTGCCCATCTGGGGCGGTGTGCAGGTCGCCGAGCCGCCTGCCCGGTTGAGCTTGCGCCCGCCGCTCGTTGTGTTTCACCTCGTAGCTGCTGTGATGCTGCGGAAAAAGGCGCGCGGAGAAAAAAAATGAACACTCTGCCAAAACCGTGGACCCATCTTCGGACGCCCCCATATGGGCGCTGATTCTTTACCGAAGCATTCGTTCGTGCAGCTTTTTCCTGGCCTGGAGGCAGCTTCCTATGTTGTCCTATGTTGAAATCGGCCGCAGCGCCTATGACTGTGCCTGGTCGCTGCTTCGCAGGCGGTTGGATCAGCGGTTTCGCACAACAGCAACCCTGGTGACTGGCCACATGGTTGGAAGCTTCGCGCGTCTCGTGTTCTTCACACCTACTTTCGCGAGCGCGAGTTGCTGCCCACCCTGTCGCCGTCCGATCGGGCTTGCTTCCAAGCCGGGGCTTGGCTCACCGCCATCCCGACTGACGCCGGCACCACCCTTCCACCCGCCCACATGCATGTCGCCGCCGCTGCCGTTGACATATGGGTTGTGTGGTGGCGCCGGGGCGTCTGGTTGTTGGGCGGTGCTCGGCGACCATGCTGCTGCGTGTCAGCAGTGGCTGGGACACAACCACGCCTGGCGTCGCCGCAGGTGATCGCCGGCGTCTGGACTTCGTCCTGTATGGCGCCACTCGCCTCGGCGAGGCCCTTTGCTGCGATGTGACGCTGGTCTCGCCTGTGCGCCGGAATGGCCACCCTCACCCGCGGGCTGCTGAACACGATTGCGCCGTGCTCGAGGGACGACTAAGCGCGCGTTCGACCTCGTTCGCCGCCTCGTCCACGTCCGATCCCTCCGCGCTCCCGCGGCACTGCGCCGCTCTGCTGCCGTTGCGTGGCATCAGCGCGCTGTGGTGTCCACCTTGTTGGGCGGCGCCTGGCTCTCGCCTGCGCGGCCTGCTGCGGATGTGGGCGCCGGGGACGCGCCTCTTCCCAGCCGCCTCCCCTTGCGGCGGTAGTCGTGGTACTCATGGCTTCGTGCGGGCAAAAAGGTGCGTGGAAAAAAATGCTTCCAAGATCGAGGCTGACTGAAGCTCGCTCAAAATGCAGTTGGCACAGCCCTTGTGTGTGTGTGTGTGTGTTAATTTCGTTTGCGGTTCCACGGCGCCACCAAGGCCGAGCGGAGGGCGCCGCCTCGTGTGTGTGGGGCGCGGAACGCGCGTATCCCGAACTGCTTGCTCCTGAGTCGCGATGCCGGCTTGTAGCTTTGGCAGTTGAAGCGGGCCGCTGGAGCGCCGAGGCTGCAGAAATCCTGCGCCAGCTTGCACGCACCCGTGCGCGTGCAGCACCTTCGCCAGATGCGCAGAGTCCTAGCTGCCGCCGGCCTACAACAGCTGTTGGGCGTCCTTGCTCCCCGAGCCAGCTTGCTATGCTTGATCTTGACGGCGCGGCGCACACACCTTCGTCCAGCGTCACTTGCGTCAGAAGCGGGCTTGATTGCCATTCGCCGTGCCCAACCTGCAGGCTGCTTGGCTGCTGCTCCTATGTTGCACACGGCCTCGGTGCAACTGGCTCCGACGCGCGCTGCCCAGCGAGCGGCGCGTGGCGTTTTAAGGGAAAGGCTGCCGGCATTAGGAGCGGAGTTTTTGGCTGCGTGGTGGGCAAGAATTGTGCCGCAGGTTAACATTGTGTCGCTTGCGCTGCTCTTGCTGCAAGCGCGGCCGAGCCCTGCAGTTCCACCTCATCTTGCCGCGCCGCCTCCACATGCTAGTCCCTGCGTCCGGTGCTGGGCGCCATGTAGCTTCTTGCCCGTATTCTGGTGCGATGCACATGTTCTCGTGAATGGCATGAACATGGCCTTCCTCTCAGGTTGGAGTCGACACCGCTTTGCAAGCTGCCGCCGCAGGCTTCCGCCGCAGGCTGCCGAGGATCACGGCTATCTTCTTCGAAGAACAGCTGGCTGGTGCGAAGAAAAAAAGAAAATCAAATGTGTCGGAAAAAGCGAAGACTCATCTGCAAACACAAAAAGTAGCAACAACTCCACGTATTTGCACATCGACCACGCCGGGTGTCATGAACACACTTGCACGAGGACACTCGCACGAGCAAACTTGTATGAGCAAACTGGCACCACGAGGAAACAAACACTAGCACACTTGCAGAAACAAACTCGCACGAGCAGAGAAGACTTGAACAGGAGATTGAAGTTATAATTTCAGGCGGTGGGACGGACAGAGCCCACTCTGAACAAATGACGTGCGCGGGGATCAAAAACATTTTTAGGTGCCGCACGACCCTGTGTGGGGATCGGCGTGGTTGATGTGCAAAATCTGCGGACTTTTGCTGTTCTTGGCGGCTTCGGCGCGTGTTTGCTGTGCAAAAAACAGGATTATTGCTGGTTTTGGCGATCAGCGTCGACGTGCAAAGACTGGGAAGTCTTTGTTACTTTTGCTCGCGAGTTCGCATTTTTTCCTGGATGCTTTCGGGGGAAAAGCTATGCTTGGCTTAGGGTTTAGGGTCGGTTCAGTTCAGTTTGATGTGTAGGATAGGCTTTCGAGTTGCAGGGAGGGTTGCTCAGGGTCGCCCTGCGCTGCCGAGACTGAGGCTGGAAGAACCCCCAGCCCAAAGTACGCCGCAAAAAGGGCTAACGTTTTTTTCTTCCTTTTTTTGTGCTTTTTGGCCACGACGGGTACGTCGAAAAGTGAGTGTAGGAAAGCCTTCGTATGCTGACTGTGCACACACTCTCGGCCACGCAACTGTTGGATCTCTATCCAAGAATGTTGGTTTTGGAATCCGGCCTGCAGAAAAGCAGTTACTGGTGTCGCGCATTCCCCAACAACACATGTATAAATTAAGTTGGAACACATGTTCAATTCCCGAGCTTGTTGGCCCTTGGTTGCGCTGGATGCATGCTAATCGTGACAATGTGATGGTGGTGCAACATCCCAAAGGGCAGTTGCAACGTTGCATGTGAATTGGTGACTCGGCATGGTTGCGCGCACTTTGCACGAATGGCAGGAGCAGTGTGACACGCAAGTCATGGCAACATGAAGCTTTGGAGTTGCGGCAGGGGCAGAGCAAGTTGCACAAACCTTGTCGCAGGAATCGATGTAGAGCGTTTCAAGCCAGCGCAAGAAGTGCGGCAGCCCGGGCCCTAGTGGTGCTTGCAAAGGCGCAGTCTCATGCCATGATGCCATGAGATTTTCTGGTTGATTGTAAGTGTGCTGTCGTTGATTAGTGTTTGTCTTCATGGACACTTGCTGATCTACCTCAATCACAAGGTTGGTGTATGAAGATCCAGCATACTGGTCGGCGCGGTACAAGGAGAAGGCATTCGAGCCGCCGATTGGCTGAGTTGATGCCATAAGGCGATTGTCGCATGCCTTGTGTGCCATGAGTAGTGGATCTGCAGCGTTTTTTTCCCCCCTCACCAAGCAATGCCCGAGGTTTGATTGGCCTGATGCTGAGCCTTCAGTTCCCTGCCGGCTGCAAAGGGCTCCCTGTCGGGATTCTCCGTGAGCGTGGCCAAGGTACCTGAAATGGGAGCACTTGAAGGACATGAGCTCTGCCCAGAAAAGGTTAGAATCACCCATGCAGGAGACACTTTCAGCCTGGCTTTCGCCAGAGCCAGTCGCCAAGTGGAAATCGAAAAAGGAAAGAAAACAAGGGACCTGCTGTGTCGCAAAGGTCCGAAGTGCTGGTTCTTGGATGTGGCTGCAAGCTCAGCATGCACCACGTGCTGTGCATAGGTGTCATGGTTTTTGCTGGAGAGAGGGATGGTAGAAGATAAACCTCAGATAAGCCATTGACAACATGCAACTGGCCGTCGCGAGGCACGAGCCCAGTTCCTGAACAGCTGTTAGCAGATGGCCTGGAGCCCGGATTCAAGTGTGACAAGCTATGCGGTTGGATGCCTGGGTGCGCCGTTTTGACAGTCTTGTTATGCCTTGTACCAGCTTGGCATTTTGTGAGCTACCCTTGATTGATTTTACGATATCAGGATGTCAGTTGCCGCGTAACTGGCATGCCAGCCATGCAAGTAAGCCACGCTTGAGGCACGCCAAGACAACTGCATGGCAGCATACCACCACACCAGAGCGCCCCGTGTTTGCTGCAGCTGCATATTCAAGCTCAACATAAAGCTCCTGCAATTCCTTTGCAACGCCATAAGCGAGGCATTGTCACGCAGAATCTATTGCAAATGTGGCAGCGCACCATTTACTTGCAAGCCTGCTAGCAATGCCCTTGGTAGAGCTATGGCCTCCCAAGACGATGTTGACAGAGCCCTCCAGTTTGAGCAGGACCAGTGGGGTGGTTTCGAGGACATCGACGACACCGAGCTGTTGGAAGCAGCGGTGAGAGCAGAGCAGCAAGAAGTCGCCAGCAGCGTCCCACGCGACTCGTGCGATTCAGCGGCTTCGAAGCGGCCGCGGACAGGGAGCCAGGGTGCCACTGCCGAAGCTGGCCGCGCTCCGGGCGCACAAGGCAAAGCCACTCCGGTGGACGTTTTGGCCGAGCGGCTTCAAAGCCTGTCTTTGGCGCAAGGCTCTGGCTGCATCACAGGCCCTGGAATGATCAGTGGGCATCTCTGCCCAATCGTCCAAGCAAATGTTGGATGCCAGTTCACCGTGGGGGGCATCGAGGTGTTGTTCCCCTTTGCATCCCCATTGGAGCCACAGAAGGCAGTGATGAAGAGCGTGTTGGAGGCCTTGACTCTTTGCAAGCATTCCGTCTTGGAGAGTCCCACAGGCACCGGCAAAACGGCCGCTGTGCTTTGCGCTGCCATTGCTTGGCAGAGGCACCGCATGGCCAAGGCTGGCGCGGCGCCGCAGATCATGTACGCCACCCGGACGCATGCCCAAGTTCGTCAAGCCATGCAGGAGCTCAGGCGCACCCCATACCAGCCCATTGTTGCAGTCCTGGGCTCCAGGGAGGCTGGGTTTTGTGTGAACTCACAGGTCCTGCAAGCGGATGATGACGGGCAAATTCGGCAAGCTTGCCGACAAGCGCGCAGCCAGAAGACCTGCCAATTTCATGTTGGCTTGGAGTCACGTGAGCTTCCTTTGCTGGCCACTGAGATGCTGAGGGGCCCAGAGCCGTGGGACATAGAGGATGCTGCCCGGTTTGCCACGTCCACAAACTCTTGCCCCTACTACTTGGCACATTCCTTGGCCCGCCATGCAGAGATCGTCTTCTGTCCATACAGCTATGTGCTGGACCCGTCAGTGCGCCAGGCCTCAGGGCTGAGTTGTGCAGATCTGACAGGCCGCATTGTGATTTTGGATGAGGCCCACAACGTGGAAAATGTGTGTCGCGATGCTGGTTCTGCTGAGCTAAGCTTGGATCAATTGCAGAGTGCACTCTCTGCAGTAAAGCGTGTCATAGGAGAGGAGCAGCCTCGGCACTCTGTGCCGCACCCGACCGTACAGGTTGCTTCGAAGACGAAGGCTTCGGTCGAAGAGCTCGGAGGCTTTTTCCTGCCAGCCACTGTTTGTGAGGCGTCAGAGGCACCCTCACACAGTGCGCGGGTGCCTGCAAAGCGGCCTCAGTTTGTGCTGGCCGTGCGGCCTTTGGCTGCTCTGCTTCAGCGCCTCTGCCATTATTTGTCCGACATCCAGGAGGCCACGACTTTTGCGCCCCACCTGGCGGAGCACCGCCGGGTGCCCGCGCTGCTGCGCATCCTGCGCCTGGATTCGGAGCCTCTGCTGCGCCTGGACGGCGCCGTGCCGCGCGCCGAGGCGCTGCTGCGGGAAGTGGTCGGCCGAGGCCTCGGCGGCTTCTGCTCGGCGCAGCTGGAGATGGCCGCCGGGCTGGTGGGGCACTTGGCGGCGGCCGCCCGGCAGCCGGAGTTGTATGTGGCCCAGGCCCAGCCAGGAGGACAAGGAAAGAGACCTGTGCTGCACCTTTGGCTGATGAGTGCGGAGGGAACCCTGGCAAGACTGGCCAATGAGCTGCACGCCTTTCTGTTGATGTCTGGCACGCTGTCCCCACTCACGGCAACCGTGGCGGAGCTGGGTCCTACCTTCCTGTCAAGAGCGCTTGCACCCGTCGCAGCCAACCATGTTGTTGAACAAGAGGCGCTCAGAGTGGTCACTGTGTCGCAGTTGTCTGCTTCGACCACCACAAAGCTTGAATGCACCTTCCACGCATGGAAGCGATTGCCGTTCTTGATGTCTATTGGGTCTGCTTTGCTGCGAGTCGTGAAGTCCATACCAGCAGGGGTCCTAGTCTTCCTGCCATCATATGACTTGTTGGAGAGATGCCTCGAAGCCTGGCAGAGAAAGGGCGATGACAACACTCTTGGTGCTGCGTCTGGCCGGCGAGGTCAGGGGAAGGCGAGGCAATCAACGAAGAAGCGCTACCGCGGAGCTGTCGAACGGGTTCCCGAAGAAGCCCAAGAGCCTTCGTCAGGACAAAGCATTCTGGATGAGCTCCGGGAGGCCAAAGGAATGATTGTGGTGGAGCCTGCTCCGATGTGTCAGAGCTCTTCAGCTTATGCGGCGCGAGTCTATGAAGGTGCGAGAAACCGCTACGAGCAAGCCGTGCTGCAGAACGGGCAAGCTGTTTTGCTGGCAGTGTACCGTGGCAGGATGAGTGAGGGAGTGTCCTTCGATGATGACTTTGCACGCGGGGTGGTTTGTATCGGCATCCCCTTCCCCAACCTCACGGAGGAGCGCATTGCGCAGAAGCGTGCTTGCAACGACTTCTGGCAGTCGAGGGGGCTGAGCAGTGTGTCAGGGAATGCCTGGTATGAATCCAAGGCACTGCATGCTGTTGCACAGGCGCTGGGCCGTTGTATCCGACATCCTCGGGATTTCGGTGCCTTGGTGCTGCTGGACAGTCGATGGTCCGAGCTGGGGACCCCCAGCTGGCAACTAACAGCTTTTGACAGGCATCTTCGATGTTGTTTGTTTCCCTTCTTGGGTGTTGCACCGTTTCTTCGTGGGCAGAGAATGCCTCATGGCCCCTGAATACTTGGGCCAAGTGCGTTTTGTAGGCAGGTTTGCCCAAATGATGACACACAATGTCGCTGAGGCCACTTTAACAGTAACACAGTGTCAGGTTTTTAATGGAGGTTTGACAGCACAAGGTCCGCAACTCATCATTGGCAAGCTGCCAGCACGCAGAAGGGCAAGCGATAACTCATGACCACAGTTGCAGGGCTTCTGAATTGCTAGGTGTCACGTCACATGCAGGGGTTGAACGAACCCCAAGTAGGACGAGTCAATGCGCGAAGGAAAGCAGCCCAACTGCCGCAGTGGCTGCAGCCCTTCATGGTGGATCGAGGGGATGCAGACAGCGCGGCCCTTTTGGTGCAGGAGCATTTCAGAGCCTTGGCGCACCGGCGGCCCACGCAGCCGGGAGTTGGTGGCCAAATCAAGCGCGAGCCTGAGCTCAAGGATGAGAAAGAGGAGCTTAAGGACGAAATCAAGGAAGAGGTCAAGGACGAAATCAAGGAAGAGGTCAAGCAGGAAATCAAGGAAGAGGTTAAGCAGGAAATCAAGGAAGAGGTCACGGAGGATGATGCGGCTGCGGATGTTGCACAACCAGTCTACGGGTTACAGCCTGACTTGAGGGACGCAGGTCCCTTGGCCGTGTCGCATTCCATACCTCGGTCACAACTGGCAGCGTTGGATGGCAAGAAGAGTGCTAGACCAGACGCTCAGCTTTTTCAAGTACCGCTGGTGAGTGCCACACGTGGGGCCTGTTTGGATCTTGATAGCGATTGAGCTGGAGCTTGAGCTCAATGCATGGCTTCTTACTGCCTCATGTACAGGAAGTTGCTCCTGGGGCAGGGGGCACAGGCCGATAGCCAGAACAGAAACAAGGAACATCTGGTCCTGTGTTCTGGGTGAGCTGCACGCTGCCAGTGCAAGTGTCCAGGCCTTGCTTCCAGCCTGGTGTGCGCCTGCAACTTAGAAGCGGCATGAAGAGACCCTGTTAGTGTCCATAGTCACCTTAGTCAGCTTGCAGGTTGACCAGTGTGCCACTTGGCGGCGAGCCAGGAGTCAGGTGGAATGTGGCCAGCGCCCACCCGCACACCCAAAAATGTTTTCTCCGATGCTGAGGCGGAGCTTGTAGATGCCTTGCGCGAAAAGCACAAAGACAAGGCCCTTGCGAATGGCCAATGCCTTCTTTGCGCATTCGGCTTCCAAAAGTGGCCAGGCCGCCCTGCAGTTCGAGGCGTTGAATGCGAGCGACTTGCCGAAGGAGAGGGTGAGGCAAACCGTGGCGTTGCAGATTGCAGATATGAAGGAATGGTTTGAGCGCTTTGACTTAGTGCTGGACAAGGCCATGCTGGACTCAGTGCTGTCCGGAAGGCAAGGAAGCCCTAGTTGAACCTCACATTCTTTGTGCCACTTTTGGAGGCAAGGCCAGTCATTGGCAGAGGCTGTGCTGCAGACGGTTCTGGTCTGACACTCGGTCACAGGATTGAGGTGTTATTTTGGAGTAGCATTTTCCCTGACCAAATTGTGCACCTTGCATGGGTTCACACGAGGGGATTCAATTGTTTGACATGGCCAGACTTGATTCGAGAAAGTGTAGTCACGCGATGTTGGCAATACACATAAGGCAGCCGTTGTTCATCATTTGCGCGCGCCACGCCTGCCGCCAATACCTCTCAAGAAAGTCCATGGAACTTGGCCCTTTTGCAGTGGCTGGGTGCAGGTGTCTCAGCAAACACCTGCAGCTTCATAGCCCAGCAGCGTGCAGACAGAAAACGCGTGCCAGCGCGCCAGGTGCACATGATGCTCCGCGGCCGAACCCCAATTTTGCGGCTGGGCCGATGCTTTTGCGCAGATGCCGGGCAGGCAAGAGCGTTAACTTGTCCAACTGCACATCTTCAATCTTGAACGATCGCAGCTGCAGGCGGCAAAGCCGTCCAAATGGAAGCGCAGGCTGTGCCGTGGCAAGAGGGTAAGACCGCCAGCTGCTTTTTCCCTTGTGGTTTTGCTTGGGGCACGTGCGGCGTGCATGTGAAGCTCAGGCTGGTGGCCACTGGAGTGGTTGGCGCCGGAGTTGCGGGTGGCGTCAGCTTCTCTTCTTACAGCGAGAAGAGGCGACAGGCGCCCTACGCGATTCTCACAGTTGCTACTCAGTTTGCCTTTGCTTGCTCAGCAACCGTTTGCCTTGCTTACCAAGGAGGGCCTCAAAAATGGCGTTAGCACGCATGAGCATAACTTGGAGGGACATCACGCGACGCCGAGCCACACCCGTGATGCAACACGAAGCCTTCCAAGCCAATCACTTCCAAGGCAACCAGCTTGCAAGCGAGACCCCCGTGCCAGGACGACGCATCCAAGCAAAACATGCATCCGGCATGCTTCAACACGCTGTTCTCAAGATCCCACCGGTGATACAGGAAAGGAACCCCATCCTTCCTCTGGTGGGGATGAGGTGTCGGCGGCCTAGGGAGAGAGCGCAGCGGAAGCCAGTACTTTGCAAGGCCTGCAAGTGATGCGGAATCGACAGAATTGGCGAAACAACCAATGTCACGGTTCTTGTGAAATTGAAGAGGAAGGCGTCTATGGAAGAAATGACGTGCGCACCTGAACCACCAACAAGAATGCTGGAAACAAGGCACGGGTTGCGGACCAGCCGGAACTTGGAAGCCACACTGGTTGTTGGGCCAAACGAGTGCCCAAAGTAAGCCACCGCTTCCAGGGAACCTGCAGCCGCGCGGGCTGACGTGCCAAGAAACTAGTAAGCTGCCGCGCAAAATCAGGCGTTGGCTTTGAAATTGTAATGAGTCCCGCGTCGATAGGCCATGGGCTCGCCTAGCGCCCCCGCCCCACCCCCCCTTGTTCGTAACGTTCAAATAAGCCTGTCTATGTTGTACTTTCTAAACGGGTTTGTTGCATTGCACGCACTCGTCACAGCCTGGTTGTGTGGCGGCTGCTTTTGCACATTGGCACATTTTGTGGTGGCTGCATGTCCGGCCATTTTTGGGCACGACTGATGGCTGCAGGAAATCGAAAAGAAGATCAGGACCAAGGGCCGCGCTAGCACTTTCAAGTTGCATGTTCTAAGCAGGCTTAACTTGCTGAACCCCTTTAATATTTACGGCGAGTAAGAACATTACGGCGAGTAAGAACTGCTGAGCGGCACTGCTCTTGTTTGTGGTGTTGGGCGCAGGAATGTTGAGGAGAAGCCGGTGCCCACGAGGGCGGACCAGATGAAGCGTCTGCAATCAGACGATGAGTTCGACATCCTCGTTGTCGGTGGTGGCTCAACAGGCGCTGGCAGCGGCCTAGCCGCCTAGCCGGTCCCGCATGACGGCATGACACCGAAAGGAAGCAGCTTGGGAACTTGCAGGCGGCAAAATCCAGGCGGCTAAGACTAAGAGACGAAGAACAGCGAAGGTCCTCACCCTCGGCACAAGGGATGTAAATGCAAACTTCTTTACACATAGTATATGTATATATTATGTGAAAATACTTCTACATTGGTACACACGCACGCAAACACACATATGTCTATCTGTCTACCTGTCTATCTATCTATCTATCTATCTATTTATCTATCCATTTATCAATTGACAATAAGGGTGACTGTGCGGTCCTTCTTCATCTCAAGATCTAGGTGGATGGTGGTTGGTTTGGTTCAGGTCCTTGGTCTTCTTTCTCAGGGAGCCCAAACCAACTGGTGGGGTCTTGGCTGCCCGGCTCATTGCAGCTCTTCGCCTGTGCTCTATCTCTCGGTGGGCTTGGCTTGCTTCTTGGCGGGTGTGGTCTTTACTCTTTTTGTGCTGCGGCATTACCTTTTGCACCACCCTTCTGTTGCTGGGACTTTTGAATCGTTTCCCCTCAGCCGTCGCTCCGTCTGCGTCGGTACTTGCATGAGTGAGGGGTCTGCTGCTCTCATCATGTTGAGCAACTGCGGGAGGTAATTGGAAACCTCACTTTGGCCTCTGAGGGCCTATCTTCTGTTCCTCACCCGTCTTCTGTTGTCAGTCCTGAGGCCACTGACTGGGAGTTGGTTGAGAACGATCCTACTGCCCCTCTTTCTGGAGAGGCCGGTCGGGCTTCTTCTTCCCAGGTTGAGGCTGGTTTTGAGCTCCTGCTTGCTTTGCTTTGTGCAAGCGCCTCACCGCTCATGGCTTGTCTTCCGAGTATCGCGCTCGCCGTGCTTGGCTTGCTGGACTCTGGGCCCAAGCCGTGCTCAAGGGGCGGACCGTCTGTCCCCCTACCACCGCGGAACTGGGACTTCGGCCCTCCGTCTTTGTGATCCTCCGCTGCTCTGCGTGCTCTAAGCCCACAAGGGTCCATTCCTTCAAGGACCTCACCCGCTTGGTTGGGAAGCCCATCGAGGCTTCCGCTGTACATCACTCGTTCGCCTCCCTTGCCGAGGCGGAAGTCTTCTGCCTTGCGTCTGGGTTTCCTCTCCCCGCTCCTCACCGATGGATTGAATTGAACCAAGGAGGGCCTGCAGTCCTTGTACCTCCTCAGTTGGCCTCCTGCTCCTCACGGAGCTCTTCGGACGGAGGCTTTTGCCATCCCGGTTTTGAAAAGGCGCGATGGCCTGCTTCGGGCCCTCCCTGTGGATTTTCTCTCGGCTGCGGAACTGGAGGAAGGAGCTGTGTCAGGTCCCGATGCTCTGTTGGGCCCCTCCACGGTCTGCTCAGTGCCAGCGGTGCAAACGGAAGAGGATAGTCAGGAGGTTGTTTTGGATGCGGAGGTTCCTACCCTTCTCATGGATTTTGGCTCCCAGGTTTGCCAGCTCCTTCAGGAGTACGATCAACCGGAGGAGGGGATGGATCCTATGCCGTTCCAGTCGGATCTCCGAGATGCGTAAAGGAGGAGAGGATTGTGTTCTACTCGGCCGAGGAGGAGCCTTCTGTTCGCCCCAATCCCTCGTCGAAAGTCAAAGTCCAGCAAGATTGTCTCCAAGATCTTCGCGCTTCTTCCGCTTTCCATCAGAGTCTACCCCAGACCCACACAAGCGCGCAAGGGCGGAAGTACCCTCAAGCAAACTGTGCGCAATGGGAGGACCGATAGCGTTAGAACGGGCCCTGCTGCGAGTCACGGCAAACTGATGGTAAAAATCCTTCCTGTCAGTCGCGGAGCAAAGCAGGGTTTCACGCTTAGGATCAAGCTCAATCTGGCTAAGCAAGGGCCCAGAAGGAAGTCTGCGAGAAAGACCCCAAGCCCGAGATTCAACAAAATTCCTGCCTCTCCTATCTCCAATCTGGTTGTCCTTGTCAGGCGCTTTGTAGCAGTTGAAGACGCGGCTGAGCACACTACCAGCAGAGACAGGGAGAAGGTCAGTACAGATACGGAGAAGACCATTGACATGCCAAACACAAGCAAGCTTTGCGATCTGCGCCGGCGACTCACGGTCCCAACGAGGAAGGATCTCAGACGGGGGCTGAACATCATGCAGTAACGCATTTGGTTCCACAAAGGCCATGTAGAGCTCGTCGTCAAGATAGCCAACAGAATCCCATTGGGCCTTTCCAGCAAGGCGGAGGCGATCAGCACATCTTCTTTCACAGAGTTATGGACAGGCGCAACTGCTCCAGCACGCTCAGAGTAGCCAAACGAAGAGGCGCCAGAAGCAGTTCGGACAACTCACCCAGCGTGCAACTAATTGATGGTGACGGCAACCACCCTCCCTCCAAACGCTCTAATCAGCTTCCCAAGGTTGGCCAGAGCAGCCGACTGTGCGTCATTGGGAAGCCTCCTGAGAGCAACCGGGAAAGGTTTGCAATTTGCAAAGAACAAATTCAGAGCAACGACAATGACATGTAGGAGCCGACCAGTCAAAGCCCGATGCCTCCTCCGAGAACTCCACTCAGGGCCACAACTGCCGAACACGCCAGAACAAGGCCAGGGCAGCGGGAAAAGAACATGTGCCGAGGAGCGGTGCTCGACCCGGGTCAGCTGCAGAGTAGACTTGAGAAAAGACGCAAAAGGGGTGCGGCTCTGCAGGACAAGCTTGACAACCTGCCGGCGCCACACCGGAAAAAAAAACAAACACCCTCACCATGCCTTTCTTGAGGAGGACGGAAGGGCATACGATTACTGCCAGGGGTATTGGCATTCGGGGGGTGCATCTAGGGGCAAGATCACTTCTGGTGCTTTGGCGGGGCTTCTGGATTGGCGGATCCACTTCCTTCCGGCCACCAGCTTCCAGGCGCTTGGTGTTCAGCGTGCCAAGTATTCTGCTGTTTACACGGATGGCCTTGCCAAAGCCATCTCGGATGGCTTTGATTGCGCCCTCAGTTCTTGCCTGGCCCGAAAGGAGGGCCATGACTCTCTTGCCGTTGCGGGCCTTGAGTGGCAACTTGTCAATGAGGCCACTACTGCCTGCTGGAAGTGGCCAAACCCTGTCCATGTAAACATCCTTGAGGCTGCTGCTGTTTATCGGCTGGTGAAGCACCTCGCGCTTTCAGGGCGTCCAACGCGCTGTTGGTCTTGTGGACTCCAATGTTGCGCTCAACGCTTTGGCGAAGGGGCGATCCCCTTCCCGTGGACTTACACCTATCGTTCGGAAGGTGATGGCCTCATCCTTGGCCTCCGGAATTTACCTTGCTCCCCACTCGGCTCAACCTTGCCGATTGTCCCACGCGTGACTGCTTTCCCTGCTTTGGATGTCATCTTGGATTTGGAATCAGTCGCAGTGTCTCTACCAGCTCATGAGGCTACCTGGTCTCAAGGTCCTCTAACTGGGCTAGACTTGTGCTCAGGCTTTGCTGTGATTACTGCCCCTTGTGTTCTGTGCTGGCTTAGGGGCTCTTTGCTGTCTTTTGGGCGTGCCGTCAACAGGCAGCTTTTCGCCTCTGGCCGGCCGTGCTCACACTTTGCAGTTCTGAAATTGGTGCGTCGCAGAGGATGTTGGCTGGCTGGACCGATTTACATTGAGGAAGTTGGAGCCTTGCAACTCTGGCCTTTGCTATCAGACGACCAAAAACGACGCATCTTTTCTTGCATGGACGCTTTTTACGGCCTCTTGGAACCTTCGGAACGGTTTGTTGCAGCCTCAGTAGCGTGGTATAATTTGCCGCGTGTTGGAGCTGATCTTGGATGAACTATGTGGGTATTTGAGTTTTGGGTCACATGCAGCTGGAAGATTGGCAGAATCACTGCCGTTGTGTGTATGGGCACTTGCGTGCCTCAGTGCGGCGCAGCCAGTGTCAGCACCACCGGTCAAGCCACCCTGTGACAACTGCTTGCTCAGGTGCAGAAAAAGGGGGAGCGCTTGAACCCTTAATCAATCAATCTATCTATCTAATCTACTCTAATCGAATGTAATCTAATGTAATCCAATCTAATCTAATCGATCTATCTAATCTACTTATCCATCTCTATCTATCTATCTATCTATCTATCTATCTATCTATCTATCTCCGTTTTTCTTTTGCGAAAGTGCCGCGCCTGCAAAAACGATTCGCCTACTGAACCCCGCGAAAGTGCTGCGCCTGCCACACAATTTGCGCCCAAGCTTGCGAAAGTGCTGCACCTGCCACGATGTCGGCGTGTGACAGATCGCGCTTTTGTGCGATCGGGATTTGGGAGCAACCCGTTCCAACATTGCGAAATGTTTGCGTCTTTCACACAATCTGTGCCCGACTCTGCACAAGTGCTACGCCTGTCACGAAGTCTGTGTCTGACCTTGCAAAAGTGCTGCGCTTGTCATGAAATCTGCGCGCCAATCGAACAAAGTGCTGCGCCTGGATCTAGCTTTCACTTAGCGGCAGTGCCACGGAAGTTCCTTCTATACTTCCTTTGCTTTGGCATATATGTACGTGAGTCACCCCCAACCATTTTTTGTTTCAGTCGCCATACTCTAGTGAACGGTTCCGCTGGAGTAACGCACAATAGGCGCCACTTTTTTAAATGCTGTCTTCCTGACCCGCCGGTGAGTTCCTGTTTCCCGCCTTCGTCGTGTGCGTCCGGACGAGCTCAGCAGCGCTGAGCTCCGTGCAGGCGCCGGGGTTGCGCTGGAGGCTCAGCTCCGGGGGCTGAAGGTGGCGTGCGTGGAGCAGGCAGGGCAGAGCTGGGCTCCGGCTGTCAGGGGGCGCTTAGCTGGCAACGTTGTGGCGCGGGCGGTTTTCGTTGTTTGAAAGGATTCGCGGTGCATTTGGTGCGTGGGGGATCCCTGGTGCATTGGAGTTATTGTCCTTGTTCTGCTTGGCTTCGGGTCCTGATGAGGAGAGCCATGAGCGAATCTTTGCCGCTTGCAATCTCATACGAACTTTTAGTAACTTGGGTCGTTTGTGGAAGTAGAACTGATGCTGAGACGTGTGTGTCGGTCTCGGTGCCAAACCTTCAGGCAACAGAAGGCTTTTTGGAAGGACCACACCGCTATTGGTTGGGGTTTCGTGTTCAAGCTTTATTTTGTGTGTTTCCGTGTTTCCGTGTGTTTGCGGGTCTGTGTGTCTGGGATTTGCCTATGTCAGTCTGCGCGTCTGGTTGGGTGTCTGGGAGTGTCTGGGCTGCCTGCCTGCCACCGTGTGCGTGCGCGCGAATGTAGCTGAGGTGGCTTACCCTAGTTAGTTGCGGATCGCATGCAAGGGGATCGTTGGGCTTGGATTGTGAGGAAAAGTTTCGTCTCACTGTTGTAGGGTGCTTCCAAGTCCTAGGGCATGGAAGCAACGTCCGTGGACTCTTCCTGTGCGGCTGTGGGACTATCCTGAAGCGGGCACGCGCACAATTTGCACAGAAGAGCTTGTCGCTTCCAGAGAGACCGAAGAGTAGCAAGTGTTCCAGCTTGCTGTTTCAGAATTCCCATTGTTTGAGCCGGGGCACGAACAGCGGTCCTGCACTTGGCCAGGAAGACTTCGCGTCTGGGACATCATCCAAATCTACCAAGCTTCTTTGGGCAGGTCCCTTGGCTTGGGGCGTGCCGTTGTAAGGCTGGCCCGGAAGATGAGCGACGCAGCGTTTACCCCCAGATTGAAAGCTATAGAGGTGCTCACCTAAACGAGGCCATTCCCGATTTGGAGAAGGTGGCTGGGTGATGCCGTTTGAGGATGCCAAAAGGGTGTCCAACCAGGATGTCGGCAGTGATCAACATGGTGCCAAGCATCTCTTTGCAACCTGCGGAAAGTGTTGAACTAGAGGAGCGCAACACCATTCCTACAGCCCCGTGGAACGCAATAAGAATCAAGAAGAGATTCCACAGCCCCGGCAGTGTCTCCACACGCGGCAAGAACCAAGTCCGGAGCCGCAGCACATGCCTTGAAAACTCTGTGCAGGCTTCCACGGGATGCAGTGTGAAAGAATAAAATGAAAGTGGACCGCAGTGCAAAATGGCAGGCAGTTGAAAAGGCACCGAAAACAATCTTCTTGATTAAACTAAACCAAGGGACATGCAACGTGCTTGGATGCCACTGAAAACTTAGTCGCACGCAGCGAAGCTTCAAGCAGTCATGCAGGACTTCGGATCCCAGCACAAATCTTCGCGCCGTCAGAGTGAATCCTCCGCTACGCACAAAATAGGCATCACGTGGGCTCTACCATGGAATTCAGTTTGCCTTCAAATGTACTTCCAACAGTTGGGATGCAGTGAAGCTTAAATGGGAATCTGGCATGCTCCCATGGAAAGCTGTGTGCCAAGCAGCCAATATTTCAGTATCTCCACGGAATGCAAAAAGCGCCATTAAAGCGAAACAGGACCTTCCTGGAACGAATGGCGTTCCCAGACTGGGCCTGGAAAATCCAAACGGAATCAATTTGGTTTGCTAGAATGCTAGGAAAATCCAGAAAGTGATCAGGCAGGAGATTGCCAAGCACAAATTCCTGCAAGGCTTATGACTTGACAGTTACATTGGAGCATTGCAAAGACCTTTGCATTGTGTCGTGTGCATTGAGTTTCTTGTTTGGTTTCGCTGCTTCCCACGTTTAAGTTGGCACGCGGAAAAAGGGCCCCTACCCCGGGCTACATTGTGCTACGGGCCGCGCTGTGCCTGTTTTTAGGCCACGGGGTTGCCTTCGCCTTTTGGTGCCTGCCAAGGCTCGCGCTATTTGGTGAAGGGCTTGGTCAAGTTTTTCTCCCCATCCACCCTGACGAGTCCAGGTGCGGCGTGGAACGCAGCTTGGCTGGGTGTCTTTTAGCTAGTTCTCTTTGCATCCCTTGGCGTGGCTTCTGACGTTCGCCCAGGAGCTTATGGGGACCTGGCACATGGTCCGCTTCTCATGAGCGCGTGCTTTGGCTTGGCGCAAGCCTGCGAATCTGTCCAGGTTATGGGATGCTTCACGGAAAGGACGTACATGCTCACCATGAACCCTCACATCACAAACTGGGTTCCCATCGCGGTGCCGCTGCTTGGCTTTGACTTTGAAGCCTGCCTTTCGGTGGCGCGAGTGAATGCAGAGTACATCCCATCAGCAGTCCAAGGTTGGACAAGTGGATCATTTGGCCGCCACCCTTTGCAACATAGCGGCAAGCTTCAGTTGCAAAGCAGGGAGCTTTTTCTGTTTGGGCGAGGACTACCCGCCCGCTGCGCTTGGCCCATGCACCGGCCTTTTTGTGATTTTCTTCAAGTTCTACGACTTCTTGGGAAAGCCACTTGTCAGGAATTGGCATCATGTAATGTTGACCCCATATTAATCAACACCAGTTTATGAATAGGGGGGGTGCTCCCCTCCAAAAGCGATGATTCCCCACTAACCCAGGACACCCCCCCATTAATCAACTGGGGTTGATGAAAACGAGGTCAACATTAGGATCCGTCCACCTGCCAAAGCTCCGAACAGCGAGGTACGTTGCTCCCAGCTCCTATGTGATGTCCTCGGAGCGAGCGCGGGCAGACTTCCCGCAGATGGATGGCAAGAGGCCTGCCGTGGGGCTGGTTTGAATGCTATACTTGCAGCTGAAAGAGCAGGTTGTTGCCGTAGGGTTGCGCGTGCGTTCCTCAATTTGGAGGATGAAGTATGTCTCGGTTTTCTACGAGGGGGAGCACAATGATGCGCGCACCAATCTTTGCATCGCCTTCACTGCGGCAATGCATGGAGCAGCTATCGCAAACTACGCCAAGGTCGGGCTGCATTCTTGATTGGCTGAAAGGTGATCCCTGCTAGGTCGAGCGAATCCTTTTCGATGACAAGGGGGTGGCTCGCGGCGCGGAGGCGGCTCACACTTGGGTTGTCGGGGGGGTTGCCATAGCTGAAAAACGCTTGCACAGCAGGTGCTGGATCAGGCAAATCCGGAAGCAACACCCTTCAGCATCAAAGTGCCCAAGCCGCATGAAAGCAGTATGAAGCGATTATGAAGCGTTGGATCACTTAGCGCTCATCCTTCGGAGAAACGAGAGCGCTCTTCGCACCCTTTCGCGAGTTCGCAGGCCAAAAAGGTGATCTACTGCGGGGGTCCCTTCACCGATGGCTTGCGACAGCTGAGTGAGGGCAAGGACGTGAAGCCTATGGTCAACGCCTCTGGAGGTGCCTTGCTCGAATTGGATCGCTTGGCTGGTCGCTGGGCTCGCGTGCCGAGGTACCCACATTGTGCTTCCGCACCTTGGCAAGGAACAGCAGTTGCAAGTGGAGAGGATTGAAGGGCTTCGGGTTGCCAAGGCCTTATTATTGCCCTCGCCACATTGGAATGGTGGACATGATGACGTCAAGAGGCAACTCGCAACAGAGTTGCCGTGAGCGAGAGAGCGAGAGAAAGAGAGAGGGAGAGAGAGACAGAGCTGGCCCTTGTGCGTCCTGACGATCAGGTTCCTTCTTGTTCTTCCTGCCGTGGGAGGGCTACACCCTGGTTGGCACGACGGACGTCAAGACGCAGCCGGATCTTCACCACGAAGTGCCAGAGGACTGCTCCCATTGGGTGCGAAACGGCCCCCAGGGCACAGGCCAATATTCATCATGAAGCTTGCAGTCGAGTCGGCTTGCCGCCAGCTCCTGGGCCAGCAGGATGAAATCCAATACCTCATCAACGAGTGCGAGAAGTATTTGTCCAAAAACTTGCGTGTGCGCCGGAGAGTCTTGGCCGATGGAGGGTGGCCACAGTATGTCGGGCTCTTTCGGGAATGTGCTGGGTGCTTGCAACAGTAAGTGAACTGAGTGCAGTTCGGTACTTTTTCCGTCAACATTTCATTCAAACAGTTCGACTCGTTCACTTAAGCTTACGGGAAGCTTGGCTGTGCCCAGGAGACGTCATGTCCGCATGGTACGGAATTCGGCCGCTGTGCGGAGATCCCAATGCGAAAGATCAAAGCTCGGCATCCCGTGACCACGTCGACGCTTGGGCGCAACGGTTGTGCTCCAGTTGGGTCTGGCTTAGGCTGGCCTCTCAGTATCTCCAGCGGCGTCGAGCTTGCGCAGCCAGGTCTCCCACCATCCCACCAATGGCATCACCTTTGTGTCCGGCGGGAAGTGGACAACGTGGCGGGAAATGGCGGAGGATGGTGTCGAGCAGGTCATTGAACGCCACCCTGAGCTCAAGAAGAAGGCGCATGGTAAGTTGAAGCAGGAACTCCTACACAGCTGTTTTTCCCTCTAGACACTTCGAATGCCTGCGCTAAGAAGTGAGCTCCACACATTTTTTGCCACCCAACATTGTCCCGTGTGTTTCGTGTGATGGAGGCTGGCCCTTCTAAGACTCTGGAAACTCCGCTGCTGGGAACTGGAAGGAGTGACGAGTTCCCGGAAGGAGCGGCAATTCGAGGGTGGGTTTGACAAGAGTTAGGATGCCACTGATAGGTTTCTCGTATCGCACAAGTCACCTTTTCATGTAAACAAGCAAACGTATTGCGCCAGGATATAATGAAAACTTGGCCGTGCAACTGTCGCAGAAGTATGACCTCGCCTTCGACGTTGCCCAGCACCTGGTGCGAAACTATGGCACCCGTGCCATGTGGCAGCACCAACTTGTGTTTTTGTCCTCGCAGTCGCAGGCTCCTGGTCCTGTCGCGTGTCGCCATCTCGCATGCGCCCGAGGCAGGGCAAGTGCTGGATTGCGTGGACATGGAGACCGTCAAAGGTGCCTCGGACCACATGCACCAGAGCAAGGACTTTTGGAGCTAACATGTTGGAGCTCAGGTTCCAGATCTGGCCTCTACAAGCATTACCGTCGACTGTACGAAGGTGCAGCTGCCACTACTGGCTATCCATACCTGGAAGCAGAAGTGCGGTACGCTGCTTCTCATCTGGACACATCAATGAACACCCCGCACACCGTCATGCTCATATGTGTTCCTTCAACTCGCTCAGATTTGCTTCCAGGGGCCATTGCTTTGAGGTTACCCAAGAGTATGCAGTGACACCGGCGGACGTCTTGGCCCGGCGAACACGGCTGGCCTTCTTAAACTCCACTGCAGCAAGGTTGTGCCTGCCTCGTGTGGTTGAGATCATGGCGGTGCCTTGGTGCAGATGCCATTGCAATTGTCGTGCTTTTTGTTTCTTGGGGTACGCGCGAACAAACAAAGGGGCCAAATGGCCTTGACCTCGTTGAACTCATTCAATTCCGACTAACTTGAACAAAAGGACCTCCGTTTTTGGCCTTGACCTCCGTTGAACTCGAGTAAGTTGTGATGGGTTCATGCTTCGCGATGCCTATGGCTCAGGAGTGCCACGGCTGGTCTCCGGAGCGAGCCCTCCTGGAGCACGAGCAAGCTGAACAGGTTCTAGCAAGGGACTTTGCAGGACCCGCTGCTTGGCGCTCGCGTTTTTTTTGCTGAATCCCTGTGATTTTGCAGAGATCTGAGTAGAGCAGCTCGTTAGCTGTAGGTCCGTTCTGCATGCGATTCAAATCTCTTGTGGATCTTTTGCTCCAATCTCAGGTGCCGAACAAGCAGGGTGCGAAGCTGCGAACGGCCTGTACTGCAGATGTCAAGGCGAGCTGGGGTTGCGCACCAGATGACTCCGTTCAATGTTGTTTGACTTCTTCCATCAGGTCCATCAGAATCAAGTCATTTTGCTTTTCATCTCTGCCATTTTGGCCTTGCCCTGGCAAGACGTTGGAAGCCACCGTCACCCGCTGTATTCACTACCTTTGCACTTGCCACTGCAGGACGTTTTCGACAGCATCGATGTGGAGAAGAAGGGTACCCTCACTAAAGCTGGCATTAGCAAGGCGGGCCTCGAGCTGGCGTCAAGCAAGAGATGCAACACATGATGGTATTGCTAGAATCGGCAGCCCCCATTTCGGCTCACTTTTGAAAGACGCAACGGGCCTCGAACAACCTGCACCTGAGGCGGCTGCCGAGCTTGGATTTCCTCTTTCCCAGACTGAGCTTCAGAAGGCAGTCAATGAGATGGACACAGACAAGCGAGTGGCTCAATGGGTTCGGGTGCAAGTTGAACAGCGCACGAAAGGGGGGGGGGCTCGGGCATCCGTCGGGCCTCCGTTTCCTTGCGATTTCAACCGCCGCTGAATTTGGCCGCCTTAAGCCCGAGGAACGGGGAGGTGCACTTCCCGGAGTTCCTTGCAACTCGGACCTTCGAAGCGTTGCTTCGGGGTTTTGGGGTTATTTGGCGTGCGCTTGTGCCTTTGAGCCTACATCCTCATTTGGTTTCGGCCGGCTTGCCCGCCAAGGCATGGTGGAACTCGTCCCTCGGGCTGCAGCTTTGGCGAGGGGTGGCTGCGTGCGGAGAGTGCTCCGAGGTCAGATCAGAGCAAGGATGTGCAGAGGAAGATTTTCATGGGCACTCGCCGTGGATCTAGGCGCCCGCGCAGGGTCTGGGGGGGGGGCTCGAGGATTTTTGGAGGGTTTTGAGCGGCTCGAGGGTTTTAAGAATCTTGAGGGGCTCGAGGGGCTTTTGCATGTTTGACGGGGGTGTTTGAGCTGTTTGCGTGAAGTGAGCAAGCCAAGGTGGAAGACGGTGGAGGAGTGAGGCAAGTTTCGAAGGATTTTGACTGAAGCACGTGTCCAAAGAGTGCACGATTAGGAGTGCCTGACAACTTTTCGGCCACCATAAGGCTCTCCCGGTCTCCGATTGCTTGGACTAGTCAGCCAATGGCACGCAGCAGAACAACCGATTTGTTGGAGGGCTTCCAGTCAGATCGGTGACCCGGGCTTTTCTTGCAGCGCGTTTGCGCAAATCCAAATTGAGACACACTTTCGCCTCCCCGGCTGGGTGGCCGTGCGCTGACTTTTTTTTTCGGTGCCATCCTGAGGTGTGTACTGTTGGTTCTGCGCGGCATGAATGCAAGCATGGCATGTAGCGGTGGCAAATACAGTGTTCTAGCTTGTGCCAACTATTATCTGAACTGAGACGTGTTTGACCAGCAAACTGCAGAGGCGATCAACGCACGTTAGGAACAGGATTCTTTGCTGGCTTTGAACTTGCAAGAAATGCGCGAGCTGGCAAAAAAGAGGTGGATTCTTTGCATGTCACGTTGCTTGTCCCGAAAGCTGGTCTTGGAAAGGATTGGCTTGAAGTCGGTGTGTGCCGGCAGGGGTGGTAAGATGCACTTTCCCCCGAGAATCTAGGACAATGGTGAGTAGGTACACTTGTTGGTGGCTCCACGAGTGCGCATGCTGAAACATTTTTGCCGGATGCATGCTCTGGCTCCTGTGTAGACTTTCCACTTTGAAAGCTTCAGGGGGGCGATTTGGTCCATTCTTGTTTTTAAGGCAGCGGAGAAGGACCCTACAACACACCCAAGAATGGCTAGCTTCCTTTCGGCTTGTCCCTTTGTCCCCGCTTGGGCGCTGCTTTGCTAAATCCTGAGGCCTGCCTGAAGCCAGCTGGGCGGTATGCCGCTGGCCCAGTGTAAGGGTTCAGGTTTGCGAACGAAAAGGGACATTCATGATGGTTCTCCTTTGGTGTTTTCACATGTTTTCCTTTTTGAGATGTTTGGGACAGACGGGCCTTCCGCTTTCTGCTGTGGCGTCCCAGGTTTGCATTTCGCATGGGCGTCCAGCCCAAAGACTGCCGCTGCTGAAGGCTTGCTCTGTGAAGGAGCCGGGGAAATCAGCAGGTTGAATTACAGGGGTTGCTCTGTTGCATCCTTGAGGATATCAAGTGGGATGTTTCATGCCAAACCATCCCTCGACCGTTGGCCTGCTGCCTCAGTGTGGGGCAGTGTCGCCAAGCGCATGGACAGAGCAGGGGTGGGAATGGGGGGGAACAGCTCAGGATGCAGCACCAGAGGCTAAGAAGGGAAAGGCAGGCAGCATGTTGTGCACGAGGTCATTTGAGCTTATCATGATTGGGTTCTTGTTGGCAGAAGGGAACGTCCCTTCACCGCAGCCGTTTTGAAGTCGCTTGAGTTTGAAGCTATGCTGCGATGGCTTTGCCTTGCAGTGGTGTGGCCCTCTTTGGCATCCATTCTTGAGTGGCCTGACGTTCTTGGAAACACCTGGCTCTTTGACCAGGGTTCAACTTTTGGCTACCGTCCCGAGGCAGACGGGCAGGCGGCCGCAATTCGTGGCCCAGCCCCTGACTGGTCTTTGGGTAGCAATGCTGTGCCCCTCATTCGGTTCCAAGCGTGGCAAGAAGGAGGCGACCAAAGAGTCAAGGAAACAGGAACATGCTACCCGGGCTCCATACTAGTTACAAGCAAGGTGTCCGCTTTGCAGCTTTCGGCGCATTTGGCCTTTGACACTGCCAACGCGTCCCTTGTAAAACTCACTCTGCAGAATGCAGGGCCGCAAGCAGTGCTGGCCAAATTCAGCGTCACAGGACTGGCAACGAACCTTTCTCTGCAACCAAGTGGCGTGGGGTTCGGACTGCCAGCAACCAGCACCCCTTGCTTCTCACACCCACAGTACCAGAGTGGAAGTGCTACTTTTACGCGGTCCCTTTTGCTCAATGGCATGTTGAGGCCCTTGGGCTGGAACGTGACGGCAAATTCTAGCAGCTTTCGCGCGATGTCGGATGCAATTCACATTCCAGCCGCAGGAGTGGCAAGTACTTTTGTGGTGGTCTCCTCTGTGAGAGCACCTCCTGCATTGACCGATGCGCAAGACACAGCCTTGCGGTTCGTTCAAGCGATTCAGCGTTGGGAAGCCTATTTGGACTTAGTTCACGGCCCACGGCCGGGCATGGCATGGGTCACTGTGAAGTCGCTCATGACCCTGCTGGGCAACTGGCGTGTGGTGCCGGGACGGCCATCCGGAGTGCTACCCTCGTACACCGGGTACCAGGGTGGCTTCTGGTCCTGGGACACTTACAAGCAGGCTGTGGGCATGGCGAAGTTTGCGCCCGAGCTGGCCAAAGATCAACTTCGGCTTTTGGTTTCTGCCAGGGACGGGCTGGGCCATATCCCGGACAAGGTGGACCGCTGTGGCCAAGGTGGTGGCTGCAGTGGGAAGCCGCCTTTGTTGGGATGGGCGGTATGGGAAGTTGCTCAGTACACTCACGACCATGCCTTTCTTCGGGAGATGTATCCTATAGTGGTCCAGTTTCATAGGTTCTGGTATGCTCATCGAGACGTGACTGGGGCTGGACTTTGTGCTTGGACCGAGGGCATGGAAAGCGGAATGGATGACGGAGTTCGTTTCCTGCCAGCTTTTGCTAAATCAGTCACCAACACCTCTACGCATGCTGCTTGGCTCATAGCCTGAGAGATGAGAGACCGCCCTCCTGATTCCAGAGGTCACTACGCTCGACTTCTGGAGCATAGACCTGAATGCCTACCTTTACTATGAGAAGAGGCCGGGGGTGGAGCTCCAGCTGCAGGGGGCGGGACTGAGAGGGATCCTGTCGCAGGCTGCTTTCCCGGATGGCCATGGCCCAGGGCCTCCAGGAAGACGCCCGGCGCTGGGATGCTGCGGCGGAGGCCTTGGCGCTGAAGCTGCAGATCTTCTTCGTGCCGATGGGCGACAGGACGCACCGATGAGTTTCCCATTGGGTTTGCCGTTGGGTTCCCCATGGGTTTATCATGGGTTTCCCATCGGTTTCCCATAGGTTTCCCATAGGTTTCCCATAGGTTTCTGATAGGTTTCCCATAGGTTTCCCGTGGGTTTCCAATGGGTTTCCAATGGGCTTGCCACGGGTTTCCCACGGGGCCTGGGCCATGAGCATTGGCATGGTTTGTCTGGGAAGCAATGAGCGTCGTGGGGGCCCCAGCTGTCAGGAACGGTTTTTTCTCGGATGTCTACTTCAACGGCACGGCGCCAGCCCGAGCCACGCGAGAGAGCGTCCAGTCTGGCGATGGGAAACGTGCTCCAGGCGTTGCCCATCAAGGGATGCGAGGGCTTTGTCGCGCTCTTTTCTGGTGTGGCAACGCTCAGCCAGGCGTGTGGCAGATTCAAGGGGTGGGGGGGTGCCGAGCTGCCAGGCAGGGCGGGTTTTAAAGACTCTTCGCGATCCAGATCAGTTCTTCCTCAATTTCAGCCTCCCCACTGCTCCTTGCCAGCGAGTAGAATATGCAGCTTGCACTTTCGTCGCAGACCCATCCCGCCGGATGAACCTAAACCAAGGTCAGCAAGGATAACCCATATTTCAATCCCAAGGGCTACTGGAAGGGTGGCGCGCCCAGCACGGCGGTGGGCAAGGCTTCTTGAGAGCCACCGGACCAGGTCCGACTTGGGTGGACCAAACTTGGTTTGCCTACGCCGGCTTGCAAGGCGGGCAGCGATCAGTTGGGAAGTCAGGTGGAGGTTGGTCCCAACGCCTGCGAGAAGCGCAGGCTATGCTGCCCTTGCCAAAGAAGATTCCGGCTCTGCGGCCGGTGGCTGAGCCAGCTTGCTGTGCAAGCAACTGGGCACATGGCTGAGGAAGAATTCGCTTGGCTTGCCTCCGAGCTCAAGCGCAAGCTCTTCCTAGGGAAGGGCTTCACCGCCAACGATACGACTGGCTCTCAAGTGTGTGGGCCTGGGTTGACGCGCCTACGCACTCCAATTAGGACGCCTTTGAATGAGCACTACGACCCAGAGACAGGCCATGCCAGTTGTATCTGTTGCGTTTCTTTTGGGAGTTCATTATGTGGGAGAGCTTCAAGTTCGATGAAGATTGGGCAATCAGGTGTGCCTGGTGGAGTAACGCACTTTAGCTGGACAGCTGCGCACGTCTTGATGTGGGCCCTGGAGGTGCTTGGCTGCTTTCTTCAGCAAAATCGTGTGTGTTTTTTTTTGGGTGGGCGATGTTGGCCAACCTGGGCCTGAAAGCCAATTGCACGAGGAGGATCCGGAGCAGGCGATCTGGGTCTGAATGAACGCGGCCCAAAGACGGCTGCTGGCAAGTTGCGAATTTTTACGCAGCCCAAAGGTGGCTGCTGGCAAGGTGTTTCCCTTTCCGCGGTTTGGGACCAAAAGAAAGGCTTAGAAGCTGACAGGGCGAAAGGGGCAAGCAACACGTCGATGCCGTGCAGTAGAGCGCGCTGCGCAGGCGCCGAAGGGTGCGCCAGACCCATCCGGCTTGGCCGTGTCAGCAGCAGCCAGGCCAGAGGATCACGTGCAGGGCCCTCAGCAAGCTATGTCGGATGCAAAATATGGGTGTGCACAGCCACATTGCTGTGGCCTATGGGTCAGGTATCACGTGTACTGTTGCGAGCGCCCGGGTCCACCTGCTCCTTTGCAGCCGCAAGATGCGGCTGATGCGGCTGATGCGGCTGAATGAAGCTGGGCAAAGCTCCAAGTCTCACTGTTTCGAGTATGTCACCTCCGCAAGAATGGAAGAGCTGCCAGAAAGCGCATCCCGCCTCATTAATTTGCAAGTGAGCCAATTTTGCACAATCACGTCACAGGGCACGGCCGGCATGCAGCTTGGATGAGTTTGCAGGCATCCGGCCTCTCAGCGTCAGGTGTGCCCTTTACATGATCGGTTGTTTCAAGCCTCTTTCGCTTCAGCCCCTTCAGCGATGCATGCGCACACCTTGCCCCCGCCCCGAAAAACCCGACCATCACTGCACTACCCTCCAGGGCGTATCCGAACTGCGATGCCATAGTTCACCTGGAGCCATGGCATCCCGACTGCTCCAGCCCCAGCTGGCTTGAGTGACCCCAGCTGGCTTGAGTGACCGTATCACGGCTGTACCTCAGAATCCGCTGGTTTTTTCGCCTTTACAAGTCTAACTCCCAGACGGTTCCCGGACAGAAATGCATGTGGCAGAAATGCGACCTCCAAGCGACGGACGGTCCGTCGCTAGGCCCCTCGAAGGCAAAGTGGTCCAGGTCCGCAGCTGGGACCCCAGACCTCGCGCTCGAGTCGAGAAATCGGCGTGGCCGGCCGAGAATCAGAGTCACCGCTGTGAGGTTTCCAGAGCGCTGGCTGGAAAGTGGGCTTGTCTCAAAGTCCCACAATGAGGGAACTAGTCCAACAGGGGGCGGTTTTTCCTGGGCTTCTCTTGCAGCACCCTTCGGTTTTCTCCGAGTTTCCATTTGTTTGAACTGTTTGGTTTCTTCTCTCCACCAGCCCCACCAGGGCGACCTTCAAAGCAGCCACGCCGCACGCGGTTTCCTCGCGCGGTTTCGAGGCGTGGACCCCGAAGTCGTCTACCGCGTGGACGAGGGCGACTCGCGGGCGGTGGATGCTGCTGGCCTGGTGGGCCTCGTGGGCCGAGTGCTTGGCCTGGCCTCCGGCAGCGGAAGGCGGGGTTTGGCAGACGAAGGGCCCCGGGAATTGGGCCACGGTGTCACATTTTAAACACGTGACGTGCGCGTTTCTGTTGGGCCCTTTTCCACCTTGGAAAGGAAGTAAATGGACAAGTCGGACAAGCACATGCAAGCATCGTTTTTGGGATGCTCAACCATCCTCGCGCCCCTCAACATGGAACCTGCTTAGAGGTGGAAGTCAGGTGTTCCTCTCGAGGGCCTTTCCAAGTCAGTGAGAGGGAGCTGAGGCAAAGCCGCCCGCCAGCTGGCATCATGATTGGCAATCTGGTACTGGATGCGAACAGAAGTGAGAATCGCCCTAGAGCCAAGCGGGGCTTTGTTTCTTCTCAGAACTGCTGCTGGCCGTGGGGGTGTTGACTTCTCATTGACCCCGGGCTTCCGAGAGCTCCAGGCACTATGCTGTGGAGCTCTGGGACCTGGGGATGACCCTGGCCGGGCATCACAGAGTTTGCTGGATGCGGGCGCTTTCAGCAGGTCCGAAGACAAAGGTCGCAGAAGCAAGTCTCACAGAATTCTTGCGGAGTTTTGTTTCCTGGACTGCGGCAAGAATGCATCCCTGACTAGGCCACAGTCAGATTGCTTGCAGCTGCCCCATGCACAGTCTGGCGATACTCAGGCATTCTTGCCGGACAATCTGGCGGAGTATGATCCACCGGTACCCCAGGCGGGTTGCTGGGCCTGTGCCACATCTGCTCGTAGCTCCCGTGCTAGGCTGGAGGCTTCGACCTCCTGTTCCCAGCCCCGGTGCAGCCCTGAGACCGACCTGTTGCACGCCCGACGTTGCCAGCGCGAAGCCCAGGAGCCGGAGTCCATGCTTGACTTTGGGATGCAGCTAGGCCAGACCTGTCGACCTGGCAGAGTGGGAAGGGCGGAAGGGCTGTCGCACGTGAGGCGAGACCTTGGAGTCCAAAGGTTGGGCTGTGGTACAGCTCCCCTACTCAGACATCCTTTGTCTCCTCCTCAGTAAGACCCCTCAGCTTGTCCATGCGCTTGCAGCACTTGCGGTCGCAGGTGACGGTGCTGGCCGTGAGGCCAGGGCCATCCGGCGCTTCACCAGCGACGCGCCCAGCGTTGCTTTGGCCACGCGCGTGCGTCGGTCGCACCCCCGAGGCTTGCGCCAGGAATTCATTCCTGATTACCTTGGACATGGAGCCAGAGGCTGGCGCTTCATGGTGCTCGATACCTCTCCCGAGTTCCTGGACTTTAAACGTTTTGGGTAGACCGTTTTGGTGGTAAACAAGCAATATTTTTTCTCAATCGCTTTCAGCAGGAAAAGTACAATTCCTGGCCCCACAGCGTGCTCGCGAAGAGCCCGCTGCTGACTCAATGACAGTCGAGCTTTGATGACAACTGCGATGGGACCTTCTTATCACGAGCCCATGCTGACTCCACCTGTGACCAAGAATCTTCATCGCCTGGATGCCGAATTCAACATCCTAGCGCAGGCAGGGGCGAGTGGATTGTTTGTGATCATGCAGGTTGCCCTTGCACTTGAGGCAGCCCAAAGTGAACATGTTCTATTCAGGCGGTCGCTGCAAACTCCTGGCACAACATGGGCTTTCGTCTGATCCCCAGCATGCAGCGTGTCGTTTGCCCCCCGCAGCACGAACCAAGGCTGCGTCGGTGAAAGATGGCCAGGCATGGTGCGGGGAGCTTAGAGCTCGATGTGCTGAGCGGGAAGGCCACGGGCTCCAAGGTGGGTGCCCTATGCGACCCGTGTGATGCTCAGTTTGCGCTGGTGTGAGCCAATCGGGGCCAATGGGAGCGGTGCGAGGTCGAGAGGAGTACTCCCTTGAGAGCGATTCGTTGAACGTGCGGGGCTCAAGAGCCTGACTCATCACAAGGCCATAGAAGGAAGCGTATGGAGATCTTGGGCAGGAGCCACTTTCCGCACACTTTTGCCCTAGGACGATGATGTTGAAGAAGGTCACCTCGAGGAGCATTTGCAGTTCCTTCGGAGGAGAAGGCTATGCTGCATGATGTGGCCGGCGGCTCAGTGACGGCTGAGTGGTGGCCCAGTACCACGCTTGCTGAGGCTGGAGTCCAGCGGCGAGGTTCAGCTTCAACCAGCCCCCGGGCGACCGGAGCGAGCGGCCTGGATGCCCAGATGGCACCCAAGCAGGGGATGGGCACGGGCAGGTTGCACCGCTCGAATCGTTGTTTATGCAAAGAGGCTTAGATGCACATGTGAGGTGACGCTGCCGGCGTTGCGGCGCAAGCTATTGATCTTCCGTGGGGTGCGGCTGCTCAGCTTCCTGCCTACAGCCTGGTGGGGAGCAAGCGCTGGGCTAGGACCGCATGACCTTCTCGTACAAACCAGACGGCAGGCATGGGTCCACGGTGTTTGTGATATTTTCCGTGCATGTTGCAGATTCCAGGTTTGCACGGGTTCGGGCGTGGAAGGTTTGCTGTGCTGCAGAGCTGGGTGCTGGAGCCTCCTGCAAAGTGGGGCCCCTAGACACGGCATAACAGGGGCGGCTGCGGAAGGCCCAGAGGCGTCTTGTTCTCCGACTCGTCTCAGGTTCCAAATCGGACGCCTTGAAGGCCATCCTGTGATGAAGGCACTGCCGGCTCATGGAGGGGTAAAAATCCAGCGCTTGAAGTTGAGTGTTGTAGGCAGAAGCTATGGGTATTCTGAATGGCCGGCCGCATCCAGAGGCGCGGGGTCCCACACAGCCGCACACCCTCGTCTCATTGCAAATGCTGAGGGCGACCGGGTGCATGTGATGAGTGCAGGGCCCTTGGAGCCTCGGAGCGCGCGTACAGAATCTGTGCCGCTGGGCTTGAGGTGGCGTGTAGGCTACCTGGCAATGCCGGTGGCGCCGACCAGTGCGCAAGACGCCTGCGGCGGTTTCTTGCCTGACAGCCTTTGCGCCAGGTACTGGTCCATGCTCATGGATGGCACGGATGGCATGCTGACCATCCCAAACGCCAGGCCGAGCTGGAAGAGTCATTTGTCATTCGGAGCCCAGCACGTAAACGATATCCCAGCATTTAGCCTTCCCTCGTACTCAGCGAGGTGGGACACCGACGTGTACTGCACCAAGGCAACTTGTTTAGTTCTGGGGTTGCAAAGTCGGCAGTGCCATGTTGGGCAGTTGGCTCGTGCATTGTCGCCCGGCATCTCTTTATACTCAGGATGGAGAATTCGAGTATGGGAAGGTGTACACCACGCATGGTGCTTTTGTGGACGCTGTCTCAGTTTGGAGCAGCAAGTCGTTGAGCTTAAACTTGAAACGTTGCTACATGTGGGTGGCCGTCTGAGGCGAACCATGAAATTTATGGCTTCGACAACTCGTTCTTCAACATACCGGAAGAAGAAGCCATGCAAGAAGCTTAGCGTGAGAAGTAGCGAAGTGGCACTTTGAGACTTGTCAGGTACATGTCTCCAAGCCAGCGAGTTGTCATGGAAGAGGGCTACTCTGTCCTCTTCAGGGCAGGTTACGTCAAGGCTTCGGGATAGACTTGCCTCGCGAAAAACAAGCCCGTGTAGAGGACAGCCTTCGTGGGAAAAACATCGGCGTGTTCCTGGGTGACACTGGCTCTGTGCTTGCCTTAGTACGATTGAAAGGGATGGCCACATCGGCAATGCTTCAGGACTGGAGCCCGTTCAACCCCGCTGAGTACATCATCTCGCGTGGCCAGGACCAGACGGCTTTGTGGCCCATGTTTCGGGTGAGGCTTCTCTGCGGTTACGCTTGTTCTCCCCCTGTGGGTCCTTTCTTTGTGGAGGGGTATTTATTTTAGGTTTTTTTTTTGTTTTTCGCTTGTGGCTTGTCGGCTTCTTGGCTTTTCGGCTTCTTGGCTTTTCGGCTTCTGGCTTCTTGGCTTCTTGGCTTTTCGGCTTCTCGGCTTTTCGGCTTCTTGGCTTCTTGGCTTTTCGGCTTCTTGGCTTCTTGGTTTTTTGCCTTCTTGTTGGTTGAGTCCCTCTCTATGTGAATCATCACTTCTTCGAACATCATGGGGGGGCTGCCGCCCCCCCCCAACCCCCCCGCAACTTTTTGGATTGTTTGCAAAGATTTGATTGCACCCCTATTTGAATCATCACTTCTTCAAACAAAATGGGCGGGGGCTGCCGCCTCCCCCCCACCCCCGCTGCTTTTTAGATTTCTTGCCTAATTGCACCCCTATTTGGTTCATCACGTTTTCGAGCATCCAACTTCGTGAGAAAATGCTGGCTTTTGGTGGCTTTTTGTCTTTGGCTTTTCGCATCCTCTGCATTCCCAGGTCAAACCACGGCAGCTCTTCGCTGGTTTATGCAGCTTTTGGTGGCTTTGGCTTTTCGCATCCTCTGCTTTCCCAGTTCCTCTCCATTTCATTCGTTTTTGGCTTTGGCTTCCTTCTTCGAAATCATAGGGGAAGCCACCCCCGCCAACCCTCCCGCTACTTTTAAATTCTACAGAGATTTAATTGCACTCCTAGTTGAATCATCACTTCCTTGAACATCATGGGGGGGGCTGCCGCCCTCCCCCCCCCCCCCCAACCCCCCGCTGCTTTTAGACTTTTTGCCGAGATTTGATTGCACCCCTATTCGAATCATCACTTCTTAAAACAAACTGGGCGGGGGCTGCCGCCCCCCCCCAACCCCCCTGCTACTTTTTAGATTTGCTTTGCAGCGAGTGAAATGCCCTCCTATTTGAAGCATCATTTTTTCGACCCCGTCACGGCCCGTCAACCCTACTTTTTAGATTTTGTTACCCACGTTTGTTGGTGATGCCAGGAATGTTGGTCGGACATGCGGGGAATGTTGAAAACGATGCTGGGGATGTTGATGGGCTTGTTTAAAATGCGTCAATGTTGCGAGACAATGCTGTAAAATACGACATTTTACTGGCCCGGACGAAAAAACGAAAAACCATCCCAAAATAAAACGAACAACAATCCCAAAACAAATCCGCACCCTTTCTTTGTGCCCTTTGCGTAAATCCACAAGAACCGAATCCACGCCGATTTCCAGATTTATGCCTGCAGGATACCAAGACAACATCAGGCACCGAACTTGGCTGAGCGTTGTCAGCGGTTAAGTGTTAGAGTGTGCTGAGGCCTTCACACGACAGCCTACACGGGTGCCAGCACGTCCGCCTGTGCCACAGCTTGCCCAGCAAACCAGCATGGGCCGGTGTTCAAATGCTTGCCCTAGCAAAGCTTGTTTGATCATCCAACCTTCAGTTGTATGTGTCGCAGCATGTAACTTGGATACCTGGTTTGCACACACACACGCACACACACACACACACACACACACACACACACACACACACACACACACACACACACACACACACACACACACACACACACACACACACACACACACACACACACACACACACACACACACACACACACACACACACACACACACACACACACACACACACACACACACACACACACACACACACACACACACACACACACACACACACACACACACACACACACACACACACACACACACACACACACACACACACACACACACACACACACACACACACACACACACACACACACACACACACACACACACACACACACACACACACACACACACACACACACACAGCCCCCACGCCACCGCGCCGCCCACGCGCCCACGCGCCCACGCGCCCACGCGCCCACGCGCCCACGCGCCCACGCGCCCACGCGCCACGCGCAACGCACAGCCTGGCACCCACGCGCCAGCCCCACGCCCACGCGCCCACGCGCCAGGCATGCACTTTACGCGCACGCGCACGCACACACACACACACACACCCACACACACACCACCCACCCACACGCATACGCACGACGCAGACGCGGGCACGCAGGCACGCAGGCACGCAGACACGCAGGCACGCAGGCACGCAGGCACGCAGGCACGCAGCACGCAGGCACGCACGCACGCACCATGCAATACGCATGTATATATACATACGTATACAACGCAACCTACACAACACAACACAACACAACACAACACAACACAACACAACACAACACAACACAACACAACACAACACAACACAACACAACACAACACAACACAACACAACACAACACAACACAACACAACACAACACAACACAACACAACACAACACAACAACAAACACAACACAACACAACACAACACAACACAACACAACACATGGCATACAAACACAACACAACACAATACAACACAAACACAACACAACACAACACAAACTACAACACAACACAACACAACACAACACAACACAACACAACACAACACAACACAACACAACACAACACAACACAACACAACACAACACAACACAATACAACACAACACAACACAACACAACACAACACAACACAACACAACACAACACAACACAACACACACACAACACAACACAACACAACACAACACAACACAACACAACACAACACAACACAACACAACACAACACAACACAACAACACAACACAACAGCACAACAACAACACAACCTGACACACACAACATAACACAACACAACACAACACAACACAACACAACACCACACCACACACAACACAACACAACACAACCACGCATTTGCTGCCACTGCACCCGCATGCACGCAGCACCGCACGCACTTCCAGCACCCGCACCAGCGCCCGCGCACCGCGCCTTCGCCACGCCCGCACGCGCACGCGCGCACGCGCGCACGCGCACACGCGCACACGCGCACACGCGCACACGCGCACACGCGCACACGCGCACACGCGCACACGCGCACACGCGCACACGCGCACACGCGCACACGCGCACACGCGCACACGCGCACACGCACACGCACGCACACGCACGCTGCGTGTGGTGTCTGACAACGCTTGGCCCCAGGTAGTGCCATGCCGATTGTCGCATGCCTTGGATACCATTGGCCGTTGTCTCGGGAACTGCTTTGACAGAGTTCGTCACCGCCAAGATGGCGGCATGTCGGCACCTGCACTTTTGAAGGTATGTTTCACTTGGCAAACAATGCAGGCCCTTCCCAGACTGTGGACACAGCATGCTCCTCGTCATTGGTTGCTACAGGGGTGCCCTCTGTCCTGTTTGTTAGTTCAAAGGATGCAAGTCGTGTTCTATAGCTCGCGTGCCAATTTTTAAATGATGCCGCCAGGCCGCCATGCAGTGGCTTCGTCCACGCTTGCTCCCCGACCACCTCCAGCATTTGAACATTGGAAGGTGCGCGGAGACGGAGAACTCAACTATCCGCAGAACGCATCTCGCAAGGGTCACACAATGCACATCCTCGCAGCCCGAAGCCTCAAACCTCCAATCCCTGGAGAAGAGGTCAGGTCATTGGGGACATGAGCCATGGCTGCGCAGCTGGAGCTGCATGAGCTCATCCTGCAGCACTTGCGCAGCGCGGAGGTGCCCAGCCCGGTGCTGGACAGCGTCTGCCAGCGCCTCGCCGACGCGGACCGGGCAGGGCGCCAGCTGCAGAGTTCCCTGCTGGAGCGCTTCGTCCAAACGCCGGGCAAACGAGGTCCTCCAAAGGGTGCGTCGACCCAGCCAGCTAGGAATGCGACAAATGCGGCAAATGAGACTGGCAGGCGAAGCTGGATGCTGGCAGCTGCGGGCACCTTTTTGTTGAGCATGGTGTTTGCACCCTGCGTTACCTATAGCGAATGGTACATTGATGAGCTGTTCGCGGCAGTGCGCAATGCTGATGCAAGAGGCGAGACTCCTCTACGTGACATTTTGCAGCATGACTTTTGGGGGAACTCTCTGGCTGGCGGCTGGACGCACAAGTCCTATCGCCCCCTGGTTGTGCTGTCGTTTGTGTTGCAGTACTGGATGAACTCATGGAACTTTCGGCCACAGCCACTTCGCGCCTTCAACGTGGCGCTGCATTCCTTGAACAGCCTCCTGCTGCTTTTCCTCATGAGGCAGCTGCGCTTCACTCCCCGCATGGCGTTCTTGGCTGCTGGAGCTTTTGCCGTGCATCCCGTTCATGCCGAGAATGTGATCTACCTAGTCGGAAGGGCCGACTCTATGTCCGCTTGCTGCTGGCTGCTTGCTTGCTCCGTGTGGTTAGCAGGCAGGTCTCTGCAGGGCACCCTGGCCTATTGCATCCGAACGTGCCTGGTGGTGCTGCTGGCGCTGGTCAGCGGGTTCTGCAAAGAGAGCGGCTTTTGTGTGCTGTTGCAGCTGGCGGTGATGGAACTACTTGGCAAGTACCCTTTCAGGAGGGCTGGCATGCTGATCATCATTTTCACGGCTGTCTTTGGGTGCAGGAGTTGGATAACTCAGGGTACCAGCGCTGGCTTTTCGTTTGTAGACACGCCCGTGCAATATCGCAGTGACCCATGGCTCCGAGCATTTACGTACCTGTATTTTCACGCAAAGTATGCCCAGCTCATGTTGTGGCCGTGGACGTTGTCTTGGGATTATTCCTACAATGCCCTTCCAGACTTGGCCAGCACTTGGCGTGACCTCCGAGTGCTCGCAATCCTGCCAGCCTACTTAGGCATTTGCGCTGTGGCTTCCTGGGGCTTTTCCAAGCGATGTCGACCTATTCTCATCGGGCTCAGCAATGTCATCATACCCTTCGTTCCAGCATCCAACTTGTTTTTCTTGGTGGGAGTGACGGTGGGCGAACGCCTTTTGTATCCCTGCAACATCGGAGCCGCGCTTGTGGCTGCTGCACTGGGCACTAATTTTGAGCGGCGGATCGTACATCAGACCAAAGCTAGTGCGACCTTGAAGCATTGGTTCGTCGGAGGGGGGTTTCTTGCAGTTTTTCTTTGGCTCGCTGCTCTGCGGACATACCAGTGGTCTTCGCGAGAGCTCCTTTTCGCAGCGGATGCTGCGAGCTATCCGCAGTCAACGAAACATCGTCATCAGCTGGGGACCTTTGACTTTGACTTCAGCTTTGTCTGGTGGGGTTTTGCTGTTTTTTCACCAAGCTCATGGGTTTTCGAATTTGTATTTGAGGGGTCGGACACACACGATGAAACAGACAACCACGGGTTTGTTTGCCAACGAGTCGAGCTCGTACGGAGCTGTTGGTTGAGCTGAACTAGGTCGGACTGGTAAGGACAGTGCTACACAAGATGGAGCGATTTGATGAGGCCCTGCACCACTACGAGGCGGCTGAGAAGATCTTCGAAGCTCATCGATGCAGCAGTTGACCCAACTTCGGGGTTTTCTACTTTTGAGGCTACCTTGTTTTTTGGCTTGAAGGGAAACAGAACAGGAAAACCGCCATTTTGTGGGTAGCCTCAAAAAAGACACTCCCATTTGGGGCAGACGGCAAGTGCGCTCAGGACGGAACGGGCCTGACGCAGTACTGCATAGGACAGATCTTCTTGGAGACGGGCCGTGCCGCAGAGGCCGAGGCCAAGTTTGCGCAGATTCTGTCAGGGCGACTTGGCGCGGGCAGGGGGGCAGCTGCGCCAACCTGGGGATCAGCGAAGAACCAATGAGCCTTTGTTCTCCAAACCCTCCAATTGGTGGTTTGGATGAGTGGTTTTTTGTGGTTCAGGAGGGGTTCCCACTTGCCCTGGGGCAAGCTGATTTGTTGGCCCGTGTTGCCGAGAATGTCTGCGAGAGATCAGATGAGGCATGCCTTGGGCTTTGGCTCCCACAACCTGTGGTCGCTGTATGTCGACTACGGCCCCCTTGCAGCATAGATGGCGGTTTGGCCATGCTATTTTCAGATTGCCTGCGTCGGTGGCGGCGGCTGAGGTTTCTCCTTCGTGCTCTTGCGGCGCTTTGACGAGGCAATAGCACCTCTCAAGGAAGGTCTGAGAAGAAATGAGGATGTGCCGTACGGCCTGAACGCTCTTGGTCACCTGGCAAAGGATGGCAAAGCCGTTGCGAGGCTCTTTTCGGACTTTCGTGCTTTCTGCTGGCTGCTTGATTGAGGCTATGCCTACATCCACCTGGGTCAGAAGGAGGAAGCGAGGGCGGCTTTCCAGCTGGGATTGAAGTATGATCCTGACAACGCGGCCCGGCTTCCACTGAATTCTCTAGCGGTACCAGAGCGAGAGAGGGGAAAGCCAGAATCCCATCGAGGTGCAAGAGATTCGAGTCTCTTTTTTTTCTTCCCCTTCTCCTCCTTATCAGGCATACCTGGAGAACAACGTTGGCATTGCCAAGCTGATGTTGGGCCAGCTCAACGAAGGCGCGATGCACGTTGCGAAGGCTGCGCAGTTGGAGCCTGGCGTCCCTGCCTTTTCCCACAACGTGGCTTTACTCAACGAGCTGGCAGCTCCTTGGCTGCGACGCAGTCTGCTCTTTTTGTTGGACCGTGCGCAGTGACGGCCACGTCTTTCAGGACACGGGGAGATGGCCCTCGTCGAATCTGGCCGTGGAGCTCTTCTATCATAGGGGAATCTGATGCACCCTGTGCTGATCAAGGAGCTCGCCCCCGACATGTGATATCAGCTAGGAGCATGGAATCCAGCGCGGAGTCACTAGGCGAAGACCCAACTTCCGGCGGCGTGCTGCACTGGAGCTTCCGAAGAACGACGCCCTCGCAAATTCCGACTAGATGCGTGGTGAAGAAAAGGGAGCAGGAGTATGTAATGCACAACGCAAACCACCCTTAACCTTGGAAGCGGGGGAGGGGGTGACAGTTCCTATTCATTGCAAAGTTTTGTTTTCCACCCTGTTGGGAAGAGAAGAAAAATTGGACATGCAGTACCTTTCAGTGACATGGAGCTACTGTGCAGGTTGCAGGAGGCAGTGGCTGGTGGAATTTGCTGCCAGATAGGCCCGCTTCTGGAAAGGCAGCATCATGGCTAGGCGATGCCAGGTATTCCAATCTGAGACTCGGTGCATTCTCGCAAGCATACCAGTGCAAGACGGACATGTCAAACTTAATCCACGGCCACGCCTACATCATCTTTGCTGATGTGCGCGTCGCAGGTGTGGCATCCTACATCGGCATGCAGAAGACTCGAAGACTTGGCTGGTGGATTCCAGGCGCTGTCCTGATTTACCGATGCCTGAGGTGCGGCCTGCACATGATCTCCACACACGGACGTTGCTTTACCTTTGACGCCAGCACCGGCCTTAGGTCCAGAAAGGGTTCGGGAGACAGCTTGCAAAGGCCGCACAGCCCAGGCGGGGACGGATATGCGCGCGGCGAAGGCTGCGGACTCGCATTCTTGAAGGCAAGAAGCCCAGCTTCGAACCGTTGATGTTTGCTGGGAGGGGGAAAAGGCATCTCAGATTCTGGCAAACCATGGGGCAAGTTGGCAAAACAGGCTCGGAGAGCGCCTGATTTTATGTACCTATGTACGACCCTGCGAGGACTGCATTGTGGGCGTTGGTATCCCCATAAGCCAGCCATGTTTACGACTAAATTCACCCATACCCTGAGACTTCTTTCCGAGGGTCCATGTGGGAGGCGTTTGCTTGGGAGTTTGCTCATGGCATTTCGCAGAGTGCTCAAGAGGTTCTCAAAAGGAGAGCCGTGGCAAGTGGCAAGGGGCAAGGCGGAGGTCAGGCCCAGAAGCGAATGCTGCTGGAGCTGATGACGTGTCCAACGGGTTGATGGCCTTCGATGCGTCTACCTGCGATGCAGCGGACTTCTTAGCGGCTTTCCTCCGGAGCCTCAGTCAGCACAGAGCGTCGACCTGTGCTTTCCGAGGGGAGAGGGCTGGGTGGGTGGGCGGTGGGGCGGGCAGCTAGTGGCTGAAAGCCGAGGAATGCAGCTGGGCATGTTCTGCCTGCATGGCTGCGTTATTTTGATGCCGAAGATGGTGATGCTCAGGTGTCGCTGGAGGACATCCATTGCAAGACTGAGAAAGACAACGAGCACTGGCTCCTACTTGATGTCTGCCCGGGTTGTCGTATGTTGTTGCCCCTGAATATCAGTGGGCACCTTTTCCTTGCCTTGCTGAGTCAAGACCCTCAGGACGCAACGGCAGAGAGAGAGAGAGAGAGTGTCGCATTCTGCTTGGATGTTGTTACAGCTTCAACTTTTTGCCAACTAACGGGCTTTTCATCAAACCACTAAGCTTTTAGCAGGGGAGCAGATTTCGCAGCCGAGAAGCATGAGTACAGCTGGATAAAGCCGGTCATGCACTTTGTGGTCGCTTGGCCTTGTTCACCAGACTTGCGCAGGAGTTCGTTGCCGCTATGAAGAGGCATCCATTGATGGATGAATGGATGGATGGGTTGGTTGGTTGGTTGCTTGCTTGTTTGCTTGCCTGATTGGTTGATTTTCTGATTGTTTGGTCTTTTGTCTGTTTGGTTGTTGAACATTGATTGTGCGGTTGTTTGTTCGTTCCTCGCCGATCCTGCAGGCTAAACTTTCGGGGAAATGCTGAAGAGCTCTTCATGAAGATCGATGCTGCCTGTCTCAAGCTGCCAGTAGGTTTGCCTGCGATTTGCATGTGCATCCAGGCGGATGCCTCTGGTTTCGTCACGCTCTACGAGGACCTGAGTTTTGCAGATGCATGGCGCACAGTTGTAGGATGCGCGTGGCAATTGGCGTTCCCGGAGGTCGATTCCAAGTGCGCAGATCTATGGGCAGCCTTTCGCGCCTGGTGTGCTGACACGTTCTCCAGCCCAGAGGAACTGGTTGGGGCCCAAGCCACGCCAAATGTTTTGTTCAAGTTGCGAAGCGCCGCAGTCACTATAGCCACTTTTCAGGTCACCCAACTGAGAGGGAGCATCGTCGAGCTGGGCCCTCCCGAGGGAGAGCGTCGAGTTTTCAAGAAGCAGAAGAGTGCAGTGCCACCAGTGGAGCCTTGGCCCGTATGAGCCAGCGAGCGAGCGAGCAAGCAAGCAAGCAATCAAATGACCAAGCAAACAAGCACACAAGCACGCAAGCACACAAGCACACAAGCGCACAAGCACACAAGCGCACAAGCAAACAACCGCACAAGCACCCAAGCAAGCAAGCACGCAAGCACAACAATCACAGAAGTTGCTTGGTTGTTTGTTGGTTTGTTTGTATTTTTGCTCGTTGGTTCGTTTGTTTCGTGTTGTTTGTTTGTTTGTTCCCCAGATAGATAGCTGAAAGCTAGAGGGGTTCTAACTTCTAATGAAGCGGGGAATGTGATTTGCGAGATTGACGGCTGGGTGCTAGAGGGCGTGCAGCGCAGTTGGGGTTCTGGCGCAGATGCTGTTAGTGTGTGCTGTTAGGGTGTGCTGTTTGGGGAGCTGTTTGAGGTGCTGGTGACGGTGCGGGCGCATTCTTGTGAGATAGATGGCCGGGTGCTAGGGAGGTGACGATGCGGGCGCAGTTTTGCAAGATTGACCGTAGGGTGGTACGGCGTACAGTTTGGGGTGCTGCTGCAGGTGCTGTTTTGGGGTGCTGGTGTTTTTGCTATCTGGGGCCTATGCTGGCGTAATGGCGTAATTTGTTTGTTTTTGTGTTTGTTTGGTTGCTTGTGTGCTAGTGGGCTTGTGGGCTTGTGTTTGTTTGTTTCCCTGTTTTGCGCATCGTTTACTTCCTGTTTTGCGGGCGCTTATTTCCCAGATAATTGAAAACCACACGGGTTCTAACTTGTAATGAAGAAGGGGAATTGTTCTGCAAGATCGACGGCAGCTAGGGGGCATGCGCTTTGGGGTACTGGCGCAGCTGCGGTTTGGGGGCGCTGTTTGGGCTGGTGACAGTACGTGGCGGCAGGGTGCTCGGGCTGCGTTGGGGTGCTGTTGGGGCTGCTGTCTTGCGGTGTTGGTGACGGTGCGGGCGCATATGGACGGCAGGGTGCTAGGGCGGGTGCTGTTTGGGGGCATCGCGGCATGATGTTGTTGAATCGATTCGGATGTTGCTGCTGCTGTAAGTGACGTGCGTAATGGTTCGTGGTTCGGTTCTGGTGTATCATCAACCACGGCATGATGCTGCTGTCACTGCGATGCTGCGTTATGTGGTCTGTGGTGTCATCATGATGTTGCCTTTGCCATCAGCATTTTGCTGTCCGCATGATGCTGTCCGTATCATCATGATGCTGTCCGCATCATCATGATGCTGTCCGCATCATCATGATGCTGTCCGCGTCATCACGATGCTGTCCTGCTAGATATGTAGCGCGAGTCGTTCGTAGCTGGTGCATCAGCATGATGCTGTCAACATCATCATACCGCTGCTGAACTCAAAAGGCCGTAGCCATTTTGGCCCAAGCGATCCTGCGCAGAGAGCCTCCGACCTCCTCGACCACGCAGGGTAAGCACATCTTACCAGCCAACGTGCCTGGCGCCACAAAGCTCACGTATTCGGTAGATGCATCCTAAGGAGCTGACCCTCAGCGGTTACCAGGTGGGGAGGACTCCGGAGCTGAGCAGCAAGGTGATCTTGCCAGTGACGAACGCAATCGTCAAGCTTCCGCGTAATTTCGGTCAGAAGTGCGTAGGCACGTTCTTTGCTGTGGTTGCGAAGATCTAGCCGAAGAAGCTTGGAAATCTTTTGGCAGGTTTCATCTCATCCTCCGATGCCGGTGTCACCACGCACGCTCAGTACGCCGAGAGGTGGACATATGTCTGCGACGTAGATCCGGACGCGTCTACCTTCTCGAGCGATCTTCTGGTGCCTCCGGCGAGCGAGAGGTCGTGAAGGCCGCGTTTAGCAGTCGTCTCTGCCCTTACCAGCACCGCTGTCTCCAATGCACTCAAGCGCTGGGTGTTATATCATAAAATACCTGCGTGGTGGCCGGCCTTGCCTCGAACGACGAGTCGGCCATGAAAGTGATGAGGCAGGCATGCGCGAAGAATCATGCCGTGCTGATCAAAGTGTCCACGGACCTCGGTCTGACGCCGAAAGCCTTGCTGTTCGACAAAGCCGAGCAGATATTGGCACTTCTACCGACGGAAATGGCCGAGACCACTGAGCTTCATGAGTTGGTGTCCGCTGGAGCACGCGCTCGGAAGGTGGCGGGCGCTCCTTTCGGTCGGGAGTCATCGCGCCTGACCGCTCTTTTTGAAGGAAGCGCGGACGCTTTCAAATCTGCGAATCGGTCTCTCAACGCAGCAGCTGCTATCAGAAGGTGCTTACGAAGTCTGCCGAAGCCTTGGGAAACAGCGACGAAGCGCTTGCGACTGCCGACTCGCAAGCTGCTTCGTACCTGAAGTCCAAGAGGTGCAGCGCCCGTCGCTGAATTTGCCAGCGGCCGGACTTCGAATGAGACAGGCTTAGAGACATTCGGCCGGCTAGGGGGTTAGGTCTTCTCAGCGCTGGATTGGTTTTTCTCAGAGCTAACCATCTCATTTTGGCTCAAGTGTGCTGGCTGCCTGCCTGTCCCCCCCGTTTTGGTTTGGGTTCTTTGCCGTTGTGTCTGTGTGTTTCTCTTGTTTTTCGGGCTGCGTGTTTGGGCTTTCGCGGCGGGCGCCACAGATCAACAAGCCGTGCCGCAGCTGGGAGGCGGGCCCAGTATAAACAAACCGCCCCCTGAAAGCTGTCCAGGTTAAAAACAGTTCTGTGATAAGACCTCCCCTTGGATGCCGGGCGCAAAAAAAAAGGCCCGACAAAAATGAAAAAACAGGAAGAACAAAGGCTTGACAGTCCCCAGTACCAACTGTCAACACTAGGGGGGCGGGCCCCTACACCAACCGCCGGGAGGACAGTCGAGGTGACCACCTGTCAACTGCCCTCATGGCCTTGGACGGGACGCCGTCCGTCGACACGGCTGACGCTGCAACGCTCCCAGATGCCACCCCGGTGCTCCCGCATCGCCCGTGCTTTCCGTCAGTTCTTCCCCTCTCGCTCCTGGTGTGCCTGCCGCGTGTGATGGGGAGCCGGCGCCCGTCGCACCAGATTGGCTCCTGCGTCCGCCGTTGGCTGCGACAGAAGCTGATGCTTGCCCTGTACGCATGTGTGCCGTGCCCGCTGCAGCTGAGGGGCCCGAGGCCCCGTTTGTGTGGCCATCCTGCGGTCACACCCTTCACCTTTTTTGTGTCTCCCACACGCATACAAACTCCCGTTGTGTGTTGTGTGTCCTGTCCGTTTTGCCGTTCTGGTTGGTCCACAGTTGCCGAAGAACGCTGTCTGGCCATGTGCGCCCGCCTTGGCGTTGTCCTTCCTGAGGCGGCCCCGTCCTACGACACCCGTTCTGCTCCCTCTCCTGGGTCTGTTGCCCCACCTCCCCCCCCGTCCGTGGCCCCCTCTTTTTGTCAGCACGTTGCTCTGGTTGATGGGTCGCGCCCGGATTTGGATGAGGCATGGGTTGAGTTGCCCGCGCGGCACATGGCGTGGATGCCAGTGCAAAATCGGCTGAGGTGCAATACGCTGCTCACCCCTTGCTCCAGCGCGTCCCCCCTCGCCCAGTGTGTCCGGCTGTCGATGTTCCGTTCCAGGAACGTGGGTGGGTTTGTTCGCAGGGCTATCCGCCCTTTCCCCTCGCGTAGCCACTCCCTGGCCCCTTTGTGCTTTCGCTGGTGTCGACAGCGCCCTGTGCGTCGCAGCCCAGGCCGCGCACCCCCAGCCCAGCAGAGGCCTTGACTTTGTCTGGAGGGAACAGTTGGTTTTACGTGCCCTTGCTCCTTGCCGCGGCCGGCTTCCTTCGCAGCGATGCGGCCCAGGCATGGGAGTTCTTTGCCCCTGCCTGGCGTGCAGCCCAGTCAGACTTGCAGCGCGCGCCCCCAGTGAGCATCGAGGCCTTCATCAGCATCCTTGAAGGCCGCCCTCGATGGCGCCAACTTCCCGCCGAGGCAGCTCTGCCACACGACCCAGCTCCTCCGGATACCTCGCCTGGGCCGTCGAGCAGTGTGCCCAGCCTAGCGGCTACATCCCTGCCACGTTGGCCTACCTTGGCGAACGCCAAGCCGCCGCACTTGCCTCAACCGCAGTGTGGTTCCGTGCGCCAAGTCCTGCCGCCTCCTGCCCAGCCCCGCCTGCGGTGGCCAGGCACCAGCGGCGCTCATACAGCAGCGGCCATCCACGCTGGACCCCTCCTCGATGCCCACCCCCCGCGCACCCAACCATGCCGGCCCCTACATCCCCACTCTTCAGCAAAGTGCCCCCAGCGGAGCCCACTGCCCCTGCCCAGCAGGCATCGTGCCACATCCCCCCGGCGTTGACGCACCGCTTCCCACAGCCGCCCGGCGCCCTGCACGGCGCTCGCTTGAGGTCGCTCTCGATGGCGCCCGGCTGTCTGCGGTGCCGAGGCGGAGCGCGCGTGGAAACTTTGGCTTTTCCTGCCGGGCATCCACTGTTCTATGGTCGGACCTCCCGTTTTCTCTGGGTTGATGCCCGTGGCCAGGTGCACCGCATCGACCAAGCTGAAGGAAGGCGGCTTTGGGGCTCCACCCCGCCCTATGTGCCTTCGACCGTGAGCTCCGCCCTGTCGATCGCGAACGTGTGTCGGCTGCCTGTGCCCGGACGCTGAGTCCTCCACTGCCCGGGGGCACCCTTAAAGAGGGGTTTCCGGGGGGTGAGCCAGTGGACGGGCAGACGGAAAAAGGCGTGAGAAGAAAACAAGGACGTTGTCTGCGCGTCTATTTAGCGCACCATGCTGGGCGGCTGTGGTATCGTCATGATGCTGTCAACATCACCATATCATGATGCTGTCAGCCGCGGGAACCATGATGATGTTGCGTCATGGTTCGTAGCCGTGGTGCGCTATCTGGGGCCTATGCTGGTGTAATTTGTTTGTTTGTTCCCCAGATAGATAGCTGAAAGCTATAGGGGTTCTAACTTCTAATAAAGCGGGGAATGTGATTTGCGAGATTGACGGCTGGGTGCTAGAGGGCGTGCAGTGCAGTTGGGGTTCTGGCGCAGATGCTGTTAGTGTGTGCTGTTAGTGTGTGCTGTTAGTGTGTGCTGTTAGGGTGTGCTGTTTTGGGGAGGTGTTTGAGGTGCTGGTGACGGTGCGGGCGCATTTTTGTGAGATAGATGGCCGGGTGCTAGGGAGGTGACGATGCGTTGTGTGCTAGTGGGCTTGTGCGCTTGTGTTTGTTTGTTTGTTTGTTTGTTTGTTTGTTTTTGTTGGTGTGTGTGTGTGTGTTTGCACTTGCTTGTGCCTTTGTGTGTGCGTGTGTGTGTGTGTGTGTGTGTGTGTGTGTGGTGTGTGTGTGTGTGTGTGTGTGTGTGTGTGTGTGGGTGCGTGGGTGCGTGCGTGCGTGCGTGCGTGCGTGCGTGCGTGCGTGCGTGCGTGCGTGCGTGCGTGCGCGTGCGTGCGTGCGCGTGCGGGCGTGCGTGCGTGCGTGCGTGCGTGCGTGCGTGCGTGCGTGCGTGCGTGCGTGTGTGTGTGTGTGTGTGTGTGTGTGTGTGTGTGTGTGTGTGTGTGTGTGTGTGTGTGCTCGTGAGTCTGTGTGTGTGCGCGTGCGTGCGTGCGTGCGTAATTTCCAGTAGCAAGCAAAGAATCATTGAATCGAACAAGCAAACAAAGAAAGAAACAAGCAAACAATGAAACAATCAAACAATCAAACAGTGATGCACGCACGTGACACACGCAAGTGACACAAGCACGTGACACGCGCACGTGACACGCGCACGTGACACGCGCACCTGACACACCACGTGACACATGCATGAGGGGGGATCCAAGACGTTGAGCTCATGTGAAACGCTTTTCTGGTTGCGAACATCTCGCAAACATGCCATACCATGACCAAGAATCCCGAGCCAAGGAGAGCACCTTCATCAGAGAGCAATTTCTGGAAAACGCTCCCAGGCACGGATGGCCGTCCGGCAGCACAAGAGCAGAGGGTAAGGCGTGAACGCGTGAACTCGGAGCTGGCCGGACACGCTAAGGTATGGGGGCTTTGAGGATGCCCTTTTCGCTTGTCTTGATTGGAAGCAGACCGGGTGCCCCAGCTGCAGGGATTGCCAAGTTCGATCATGAGTCTCTTTTGCAGGTATGTGACGCAAAACGACCTGGAGTGGTTTGACAAGGCCAGTATTTTTGCGGTGTGGCCTTGACTTGCTGTACCACTTCGCCAGGCCAGAACGCAGCACAGAAAGAGGATGCAGCTGAAGCCATCGGGTAGGGCCAATGTTACGAGCCCAACCAATGCTGCCCTGAAGAAGAACCCCATGCAGGCGCTCTTGGCCTTCATGAGCTTTCTTCGCAGCAGCAGCCTGGGTGGCAACCTCATGCAGACCTGGCGGACGATCCTGGACGGCGACGGGAACCTCTTCGTCCAAAAGTCCGACGTGGCCCGGGCCTGTGCCCAGGTGGGCTGGCGCGGGGACGTGGCGGCCTTGTGGAGCGCCCTGGACGCGCCCAACGGGCGCGCCGCCTTGGAGGAGTTCGGTTTCAAGGAGGCCCGGGCACTGGCCTTGTTCCGCGGCTGGGCCATGGCCCACGGCGGGATCAAGGAGATGTGGCAGAGGCTGCTGAACCTGGAGCGCGCCTACCTGCGCAAGAAGGGGACGCCGAAAATGCCCGACTCCCTGGATCGGCACGGCTTTGTCCACGCGTGCAACAAGCTGCAGAGCAGCCAGGGGACCCAGCCCGGCCAGCTGTTTGATGCCAATTACTTGTTTTCGATCCTGGACTGGGAGCCCAACCTGAAGATCAGCTACAAGGATTTCCGGTTTCTGGAGAACTGGGAGCCGGTGGCCTGGCTGCTGGAGCACGCGGAGGAGCGGGAGGCGCGGTCCTTCAAGAAGGCGGTGCTCGGAAAGTACGGGAACCACCCAGTGAAGGCGTGGCGACTCTGCCTGGACTTGGATTCCACGGGGCTCTGCCGCTGGACCGCCTTCAACCAGGCCGCCGAGCGGATCCAGTGGCGGGGCAACTGCGCCAAGGCCTGGCTGGGCTTGGACAAGCAGAGCCTGGGCTTCATCACCCTGCGCAACATCGACGCGGAGGCCAGCAACTTTCAGTTGCTTTCATCTAAAGGCTCACTTGCCCAAAGCGAATCGACCTTGTGACCTTTTTGTTTCCCCTTCCTGCTCCAGGGTTAGTCATGGCCCCAAAAGGTTAATCCTCCTACTTCTGGGTCCTTTGGGCATCTGAGAAGGGGCTGGTGACATGGGCGCAGGGTCACCAAAATACAATTGTGGCAAACAAGACCCGGGGGGCGGGGGGGGGCGGGCGGGTTGGACCAAATTTTTGGTGGCCACTTCGCGCTCAGGTGGCTGAGAACCTGGCGCTTTTCCGGCGGTGGTGCTTTGCCACCTACGGGGGCGTGGCTGTGGCCTTCCACGCCTTGGACGCGGACGGATCTGGGAGCTTGAGCGAGGAGGAGTTCGTGTCGATCATCGAGTGCTCCTCCTTTAAAGGGGATGCCCACGCGGCCTGGAAGTCTTTGAACCTGGAGGCCAGTGACATCCTGTCCGAGAGAGAGATGGACTTTCTGGACGACATGGAGCTGGACATGCTGGCGGCCTATGTCTCTGCCACGGAGGCGGCAGAAGAAGCCGAGGCTCAGAAGTACGAGCACATCGACCGCAGCGGCCTAAACTCGCCGAACCCGGAGCTGGCAGGAGAGAGCTCGATGCACTCCATCGAGCATCAGACGCAGCACCAGCCGTTGCCCGACTTGGAATCTTGTGTCGAGCTTTTGGACATGATAGGCTTGGGCCAAGGCCGCGAAGCAGCGCAGCTGCCTTTGCCCTCTCAAGTTGTCCCTCTTCCAAGCCTGGCCTTGGGCAAGTTGGCCAAGCCAACCCCCAGGCGCAGATTGACTGGGAAGCTGTACGCGGGAGGGATCCCCTACATGAGTTGAAGCCAGCTCAAGGAAGAGCTCTGTGGCCTTTGCGAGTATTGCTCCCTGCAAATGTGGGGTAGCGATGCAAGAGGAGCCAAATGTCCGAGCAAGCTGGGCCATGCACCGAGGGAGCCATGCGATGCGCTTCAAAGCTCAGGCCAGTGACTCTGAAGTGGACATGTACGACCAGCTGTCCTGCTTGTTGGGCGTCTGCGTCAATCAGGCCCTTCGCTTGCCTTTGAGCAAATCCAAGCCTTTACCCAGTTCAAATGCCGGGCCAGGATGGCCGCAGCGCAAGCATGACGGCGCCCAATGGACCTTCGCAGCAGGCATGCATCCTGCAATCCATGCGGGAGGCTGGTTCACACTAAATTTCGGGGTGGTTTCGTATTTCTGTGTGGGCGGTTGAGGCAGGCAATTCAGCCAGAGATATCAACTTGGCAGAGTGCCACGGTACAGGCGCCTTGGCATTGCAAAACCTCCAGTCAGGAATGCTCTTTCCTGCACGGGGCGCAGGCACAGCTCTGGGTGACCCGATTGAAGTGGGCGCTTTGCGAAACGTGTGGCCCTTGATTTCCTGGAGTCGATGGCTTGGATTCTTCCGCTTGCCGCTTGACAAGCGGGCCGCAAGGTCATGGACCCCCGGGACACCACTCTGGCACTGACAAGCTCAAAATCCAACATTGGGCACTTGGAGGGCAGTGCAAGGGTCTCAGGGCAGGAGCGTCTTGCTGCAATTTTCTTTGGCAAAAAATGGCACGCCGAGGCTGGCATTGCTGGCTTCCTGAAGTGTGTCCCGAGCTTATTGCCACGAGAAGTGAGGAGGTTGCACGTGCTGTCAATCCAGGTTGGAATGTTGATGGCTGGGACTTGCCCTCCGAATGCCCACCTCTACTCGCCCCCTGGATGGTTGCTCCAGTTCATGGACCCAAGCTTTTGCGCCCAGGCTCAATCCGCATCTTGACGTCAAAGCGTTCCCATGCTTCTTCGACACGGAGGCACTTTTCCATCTTGGATGCGTTGGCAAGCTTTCCGTGGGTGCATCATTTCAGAACACACGCTGCAGATTGCAGTGTAGAAGCGGAGGCATGTGTGCTGTGTGTTTCTGCAGAATCTTTGCGTACCCATTTGCGGGCACACCTCTTGTTGCGCCCATGTCTTCTGCCATGAGCAGCAAAGCTGGAGCAATACCGTGCACATCGAGTCTTGGCATTAGCAGTTTCCCAGGGCATGTGCCACGTTGAATGCGGCCAATGAGTACATGCTGTGTATCAGGAAGGAGCTTGCCACGAATGAGCAGTCGCCAGCGGTGCCCGCGTCCTTGTGGCACCCTCCTTCGCGAGATGTTCGAGAGGTGAATGTCCGCGAGCCGCTCAGTGACGGCGCTTGGCTGCAAGAGGTTCGGGGCTCTTGAGAGGTCCGGGGAGGCGGGAAATCGGCAGAAAGGAGGAGTGAGGGAGCAGAGAGCGGCACAGCAGAGGATGGAATGAGCGGTTAGTGAGACTAGTGTACGGAGCAAGGGGCATAAAACTGTCTATACTGATGCTGGCCTTTCAGGTTGACCAACGTCACAAAAAGGTATAATTGCGCTCAGATGTCAAATCAAGCGGAATTCATACGAACGGCACGTCACGCCCAGAAGTGTTGGCACGTTGTGGATTGTGAGAGCTGCGATGGGCAAATTGTTGCAATTAAAACATTGAACGAACACCCAACAAAACAGAGAGGCCTGTGTGCCACAGGTGGAAATGCAGTGCAGGCATTCAGGTGCATACACCTACAGTACACAGACACAGAGTCTTTCCAAGACTAGGCAGACAGACTGTCTGGCATTAGCAAGTTTTTGTGGGACACCGACGATTGAGCGCCGTCATATCATTTGAAGGTTTCGGGAGGTTTGTTCGGTGAATGGGCCCGCCGCTGAGTTATTTCAGCTAAGGGAAGGAGTTGGAAGAGATCAACCCTCCGCGTGAAGATGAGAATCAAGACGAGGCACGCATTTTGGTTTTGTACTTGTTCAAACTACCCGGCGGTGGTTGTCAAAAACAATGGGATCCCATTTTGGTTGGTAGGTGAATTCACCACCCATTTTAGAACCTATTTTAGTGGGGATTGGGATGTTCACTGGTAGTACGGGCTGTTGACCCATCGCCACCTCCGTTCCTGCGAGGTGGAAATCCAAAGCCAATGCTCTGACGCAATTTGCCGCTTAGCCTTGAATAATTCGGATTCTTAGGCGTGGACGAAGCAATACCTGTCGCTGGCTGGTGGAGTGGGGGGGGGCTGTTAGACAAGGTGCATGCTGGTGGGAGACGGACCCTCGACCGAACCGCAGAGTGAATCGAGCACTGACTGGCCTGGCTGTGGGGGCTATTGTATTTTAAGCCCCTTTGGAGTGGCGCGCAGAACCATGGTCAGAGCAATTCCCATCAGGTTTTGAGCCCGTCACTCATTTGAAATGCTTGCCTTTGTGCCGTACGATATTTTGTGCAGGTGCTGACTTTTGTACAGCTCCACGTGTTGCCCGGCAGTGCCAGTCTCCGGGCGAATTACCTGGGACTGGGTCTGCCAGTCGGCGATCCGGGTGCGGGAACTACGAAGAGTTCCACATCCAGACGGCTTAGTTCCCTTGTGCGGCAACTCACCAGCGCCGATGCTTTTTTTTCTTCTTCCCTTGTTTTCTCTCCTTGATTCGTCAGACTCCTCCTTGGAGGATGTTCTTTTTTCCTTGATTTATTCAGATGCAGATTCGTCCTTGCAACTCATTCGTCCTACAAATTGACAAACCCGGTCTGCTGATTGCGCGCTGATGTCCAGAATCGACGGACATTTACGGAACTGCGCCTCCGATGCCAAAAAGCAAATCTGGCGCTTTTCCGTGACTTGCCGTTCGCATCATGCCTGCAAGAGTGCGATATTGAAACTGGCAGGCCATTGACAGCGGATTGAACAGCGCCCTCACTGGCCAAGACCCCTTGTCTCCACCAAACCATACCTGTCCTTGATCCCTGCCGAGGTGTGTCCTCCTTTGGCTTCGGTGGCACCAATGGCCGCTGTGACGTTTGGGGTGCAGCAAGGCCTCAGCCTCCTGGATGTCGAAAAGCTCCTCTATCCTAGGAATGGGTGCTTGGAATTGCGCATGTGACTGTTTTGCAGAAAGGAAAGCCAGCCCATTCTGGGGGGTACCAACCAAAGAAAGACCCGCCAACCAACCAAGGCCCCAAGGCGCCCCCCGTCCAAACAAGACGAGCATTTGGCAATCGCCCGGCCATGGCAGGTTTGGGCCCAACAAGTGCGGCAAAGTCATGGAGGCGGAGGTGGACCAGATCTACACCTTGTGTGGGCGGCCACAGCGACACACATGGCTGACTTGAAACAATCGAGCCGACGTGCATGGCAGGGCACTATACATATATACCCTCCCACCAATCAACATGGAACCTGACAGGGGGTCCCTGTACAAGGAGAATTGTCTTCCAGGATCCTGTCAGGTTCCATGTTAATTAGTTCATATATATATATACATGATATATATATATATATATATATATATATATTACGTGTGCGTGCGCATGTGTGCGTATAGATATGTACATGATGGAGATGGCACTTGAGCCGCAAGCTTGCGAAGCGGCAACTCTGGATTGAGCACAAGGTCCCATCACCTTGGGCAAGATCGACTACCTCACCGGGGAGCCCTTGACACGACGACTTGCTGCACTACGAAGGCCTGTGCCCTGTTCTTCATGCTATGGCTTCCCCGAGGGAACCTTCCAAACGTTTGGTTTCTTTCGGTTTTATGTCCTTTGGCATGCATTGTGCGCACTGAGCCAATTGGCGCGGGCAGCTGTTCGGTTTGTCAGGGGCAAGAGAAAGGCGGACGTGCTGCGAGATGAGCTTTCTCGGTATGATGTCTCCAGGCTCGTGCTCAGAGAGAGCATGCCGGAGCACCGCTCAAACCGGCAAGGTATGCATACGACGGAGGGTTTCGTTATCGTCAGCAAGAAATCCCAGAAGGAAAGGAGGACTTTCCGTTTGGCCCCCGGTTGATGCACTGCGGTTCCATAAGCTTGGCAGACTCGTTGCGTGCTTTGGACCTTGGGCTTGCTGTCCCCAAGGCCGGACAGTAGCATGTTCATATGCGGCTCTTGGAACGGATTCTCAATGGAGGACATCGAAGGGCTGTGTTTTTTTCCCCCCTTTTTTGTTTCTTTCTTTTGTTTTTTGTTCTTTTTTTTCTTCTCATGTTGTTTGCAGCATCGGCACATGCTAGGAAATGGACATGGATGGCGACAACTTGATTCTGCCTCAGCATTTCAGGGCTCCATGATTTGGTGCCTGGCTGCGGTGAATCGAAATCGGTTTGGCTCAGGTTTAGCTGCATCATCACATTGAGCCAAGAGAGGCGTGCTGCGCTGTTCTGAATCCTCCCTCGTGGTGCTTGTGCGCTCTGCTCATCCAGATATGAGCTGTTTGACCTTTGTATGGACCAAAAGGAGGAGTGCGGGCCCGAGCTGCTTCTTAAGATCGCACAGGCGGGGTCCAAATTTGCCGAGGCTAGCGCTCTTCCCAGCTGTGGACCGAGCAGGGCAGATCATAGCAGTTGAAGGTCCGGCTGCATGGGGCCCAGATCCTTGAGCCACTGGATGGGAGCATGGGGGATCAGGCCAGTGATTTCCTTGGCGCGGTCCAGGTCAACAAGGAGCGCAAGAGGTGGTGCATTGACGGGCGTGACACGGAGATGTGTGCGGGAACCGTCTCAATGGCATGTTTGTCAGCACGGTCCTTGACGATGCCGAGAGTTTCTCCTGAAGCGTGCAGCCAGGTCATCCAAATCACCTTCCAGTTCAGAAGCAGCCTCAAGTCTTGCGATCTTTGTAAATGCCCGGCTTGGGGCAGAGATTTCTAAAGTCAGCAGTCCTTTTCGGGGGAATATAGTTGTTGCCGGCCATTGGGCGTCGTGCCGGGGAAAGCTAGTTGGCTAGTTGTCCCAGCAACATCAAAGGTAGGCTTTGCATTCTGCTGAGGCGTGGACAGGATGACGGTCACATGGAAGGAAATCAGCGAGAAGCGTGAAGCATAGCTGCCGACATCAAGCACCGTCGGCCATGGCCAAGGACGCGTGACATTGCCCTTGCTGTTTGCCCGCGCGTTTCCCAAGTCATTTGGCTCTTGGTGATTGTTTGCAACATTGACTTTGAGTTCAGCACAGCCTTTGTTGCCAGCCCCCGCTGCATCCAAATGCTTCGAGGCTACCAGGCTACCCTTACCAATGCCATTTGCATTGTATAGGCATACAATCGGCAGACGGCAGCTTGCAACATTGGGCTGAGACGTCTTACTCGCCGCGCCGGCCTGTGCAATACCAGCTGTTCCAGCAATGGGAAGCCACAGCCTGAGTGACGTCGGGCAGATGTCGGGCAGCCTTACCCGCGGGCAGAGCATGCTAGCCGAACTTATTTCGTCTTTTGTGGCTTCCGCCCTGAGGAAGAAGCAGATCAAGCAGCAGCTCGCGCGGGAAGAAGCGCAGCCGAAGTGGCCGGGAAAAGGACAGAGTTTCTGGCGCATGTTTGTTGGCATGAGCTAAGTAAAACGAATGGGAGGGTAGTGCCTTATGATGGTGAGCCCAAAGTCCACCAATTTCTAGGACATCCGCCTTCCTTGATACCACAGGTGGTGTAAGAGTGCCCCAACGCCAACAGTGCCTTTCGCTGCGAAAGAGATGGGGCGTTCTACTCCACGTCCGCGCCATGGGTCGCATATTTTCATTGCAAGTCACGGGCATGCTGGTGCACGCTTGGTTCTCTTTTGTCTGGTGCAGGACAAGGGCAAAGAGAAGAAGGAAAAGGGTAAGGATCGAAAGAAGGCTGGTTCCAGAGCATGCGTTGCCCTAGGTAGAGAGTATGTTTAAGCAGGAGAAGGAGAAGGAGAAGAAGGAGAAGGAGAAGGAGAAAGAGTCCGAGAAGGAGGAGGATAAGAAGAAAGCAAAGGCAAAGGATAAAGACAGGGACAAGGAGAAGGACAGAGACAAGGACAAAGAGAAGGAGAAGGATAGAGGCAGAGCCAAGGACAAGGAGAAAAAAGAGAAGGAGAAAGAGAAGGAAAAGGAGAAAACTCATGCGAAGGATAAAGATCGAGATAGACACGCAAAAGAGAAAGAGAAGGAGAAGGACAGACTATTTGCTTTCGTGTGGCCTTGGCGTAGCCCGTGTCCTCATCACGTGCTCTTTCGTCTCGCTTTGCATCCCTTTGCCAGGAGCGTTCCCGGTCCCGAGATCGACGCAGGAGCAGTTCATCTGAGTCCAGCCACCTGTCTGACAAGTCCCCAAGCGGAACTGCCAAGCTGGTTGCTGACACATGCTGAATCACGCCTCAGATTTAACAACTCTCAATGACTGGCCAGCGTGAGGCAGCTCTGCCAGCCACATGGGCCGACGTGTTTGGCCACTGGCCGTGGGTCTGGGCAGCAGCCACTTTCAGCTGCTGCCGCCAATGCTGCTGGGCAATGCGTTTGGGCTTCGCCTTCTCTTTTCGGTTTAATCAAATCAAGAATTGATGAACTGCACCCAAGCATTCAACCACAGTTGTACTCTTCACGTACACGCCGTGCTTCCACATGAGAAGGCTGGAGCTGGTGGACGTGACGTCGGACCCACCACCTGAACTCCAGCTGCCCACGCCAGCACCCGTCACGGTTCCAGCAGCGCCCGTGCCAGCACTCACCGCGGGATTTACGCGGCTTGGCCGCAAGCCGCAAGCTCGGGCCGTGGATTTCCAAGGCGCCTTGAGCCAAGGTCGGGCTTTGAAAGGCAGAGGCCGAGCTCTTTGCAGCTGGGCAGACCACGTTTTGGCCCAAAACTGGGGCCAGACCTTGGGGACTGGTCAGACCTTGGGGACTGCCACTTCTCGCACATCACCTTCTTGATTTCCTGTATGCACCCTTTGCGCAGGCCACATGCGCTGCCTGCCAGCATCCTGGCAAGACAGCCGCTCACGGGGCAAGCTCTGGCACAGCAGCAGGGGAAGCAGCAGGCGCGAGGGCGCGAGCGGGTGCCACTTGCGATCGGAAGTTGGAAAAGGTTTGGACGAAGTTTGGATTTTGGGAGAGGGGCAGCTGAGGTGTGCTTTAACTACACGGGCGGCAAATGTTTCCGTGCCGACTGCCGGTTTCTCCACCTTGGGCCCGGTCCAAGGCCTGTTGATTGTTGAGCCTGCCTGTGTGCCTGCCTTGTATGGGCAGGTAGATCTCAGGAGCCGGGCAGGCGGATTTTGGTCCCAGGCTGGTGGATTGCTTCACTTCTGTTGGGCTGCGCGCACAGCGCCTCCGCAGGTTGTATGGTGAGTTGGCTGAATTCAGATCAAAAATTCTCGGGCCAAAGGCAGTCACTGCCCCCAGGGGCTGCCTGTTTCACAGGTTAGGACGGGATATGATACCAGGAGAAAAAGGCGAGCCGGGCTTGGGATGAACAATCGGGTGAGGCAGCGCACGTTTTGGAAGCTTGGGTGGCACTTGGGGGTGAGGCTTCACCTGGCATCTGAGGCGGCGGGTGTTGGCCCTGCCTCGGCGACCCAGCTACTTTGTTGCTCGGCTGGAGCCTGCCTTTTGCGCGTGCATGTATGTGATGTGATGTGATGTGACATGTGATGTGTGATGTATGATGTGTGGTGTGAGATGTGAGGTGTGAGGTGTGAGATGTGAGATGTGATGTAAGTACTGTAATGTAACGTAATGTGTGTAATGTAATGCATGTAACTATGTACGTAATGTCAGGGAATGTATGTATGCATGCACGTGTATGTATGTATCACACACACACACACACACACACACACACACACACACACACACACACACACACACACACACACACACACACACACGTAGGCAGGAATCAGATGCGTGTTTGTTGACGGCTCAGCAGCAGTAACAAATGCATCAGGACAAATCGCTCTCAATGATCATGAATCATCACCATTGGGTGGAATCGATCATTTTGCCCAAGAAAAGATAGATCAAGGATCGATGAGATATTCGAAGTGGAATACACTGAGGTAGACCTAAGATGTATGTATGTATGTAATGCAATGCAAAGCAATGCAATCCAAAGCAGTATAGTGTAATGTAATGCAATGTATGTAATGTAATATAATACAATGTAATGTAATGTAATGTAATGCAATGCAATGCAATGCAATGCAATGTAATGTAATGTAATGTATGTATGTAATGTGATGTAATGTAATGTAATGTAACGCAACGTAACGTAACGTATTGCAATGCATGTAGTGTATGTAATGCATGTATTATTGTAATGTATGTATGTATGTATGTAATGTATGTATGTATGGTATGGTATGGTGTGGTATGGTATGGTATGGCATGGTATGGTATGGTATGGCATGGTATGGTATGTAATGTAATGCAATGTACTGTAATGTAATGTAATGTATGTATGTAGGTAGGTAGGTAGGTGGGTATGTAAATATGTATGTATGTAATGTAATGCAATGTATGTATGTATGTATGTAATGTAATGTAGCGCAATCTAATGTAATGTAATGTAATGTAATGTAATGTAATGTATGTGTGTATGTGCGCATGTCATGTATGTATGTGTGTATGTAATGTGTGTATATGTAGGTACGTATTTAGGCGCATGTGTGTATGAATGTAAGGTAATGTAATGTAATGCAAGGAATGGAATGTCATGGATTGTAAAGTACTTATGTAGTGTATGTATGCACAGTATGTACATGTAATCTAATGTCGTAATGTCATGTAATGTATTGACATGTATTTATGCATGTGTGTGTCTGCAATGTAACCTAAAGTAATGTAATGTAATCTAATGTAATGTATGTAATGTATGTAATGTATGTATTGTAGTGTGGTGTGGTGTGGTGTAATGTAGTAGAATGTAGTGTAGTGTAGTGCATTGCAGTGCAGTGTAGTGTAGTGTAGTGTAAGGTGTAGTGTAGTGTAGTGTATGTTTGTTATGTTAGGAAATGCATGTATGTATGTTTTCCTTCCTTCTTGTTTTTTTTTTTTACAGTTATGTATGTGTGTGTTCGTTTAAAAACATGTTGCCTTGTTTTCGGCAGGTTTCGGGAAGCTTCACCAAGTGGCGCAACGTGGCCCGGAGCTCCAAGGGCCAAGCGGCACGGCGGCACCAGCACGACGTGCGAGCTGAGGCTATGAAGTGCGTGGATGAGGAGGACTTCCAGGAGTGGTCCACCACCTTCAGGCCAGTGTCAGACTTTGGGGGATGCGAGTCTTGCGGATAGCTCGTGGGTGGGTCTGTTTCATGACATGGGGGCAGTTCTGATGGCCGCACGTGAGCAAGAAGAGCTTGTTGATGTGTTCCGCCCGCAGCCTACAGCCTTTGCGTAGCTCGCGCAAGATTTGCAGCCAACAGGAACAGCCAAAAATGACGCCTGACTTCCCCTCATGGGTTGTCCGCATCTATTCCATCCCCTCATCAATCCTTTCTCTTCTCTTATTTCATCCCCAGTGCACTGCCCTGTCCGTGTCCATTTAAACACCCTTTAGATCCCTGAGAGAGATGCTGAGACGATCAAAATTTCCAACCATTCAACGACGCATGAGCCAGTGGATCCTTCCATTTTTCTTTGCCCCCCCGAGCAGAAGCTTCCATGTCGGCTGATCGCTTGCTCCAGCTGGCCCTGTCGGGTCAGTTCTGTGACATGACAGTGAGATGCACCGGCGGGGTGCCGGAGAAGGTGCCCATGTCAAAGCTCTTCCTAGCGGCTGTGTGCCCCAAGCTGCAGGCCACCCTGGCCGCGCCCACCAGTGAGATAGAGCTGCCCGTGTCCGCGGATGCCTTGAGGGCCGCCCTGGCCCTCGGCTTCGGGTTGCCAGGGGCTGTTCGGACCCTTCCCAGCCAGGCCGACCTGCGCACCGCGGCAGTGGTGCTGGGCATGCCTGAGGTGTTTCAATCTTCATTCAAGGCCAGGGCAGTGGAAAGCGAGAAGGGCCCAGCGAGGTTGCTGGGCATCGGCTCCTTGGCCCTGGCAGCGGGGGCTTGGTATGCCTGGGCACCGGTGCGCAGCTATAGGATTTACAACAATGGATTCTTCATGGATGATGCGATGATAGCTCGCAACCCCAACGTCTTCGAGGACCTGGACTGGCAGAGGCTTTTTCGCACAGATTATTGGGGATTGGACATGTTCGCTGGCACCTGGACCCACAAGTCATTTCGTCCGCTCACGGTACTTACGTTTCGCTGGAACTATGTACTGCATGGCTTCGAATCTTCGGGTTTCCATCTTGCCAACCTGGCTTTGCATGTGCTTTGTTCTTGCTTGCTTGCAATCTTTGGCCTGCAAGCTGGTCTTGAGCGCTCCTGGGCACTACTCCTTTCTGCGCTTTTCTTGGTGCACCCCGTGCACACCGAAAGCGTGCTGTACGTTGTCGGGCGCGCCGACTTGCTTTGCTTGGCCCTGCTGCTCCTGGCAGCCCTTGTGCACGGCTCCTGCAGGACGCAGCGGCGCATGCTGGGCGTTGCCTTGTCGTCAGCTCTGCTTCTATCAGCTGGGCTTTGCAAGGAAACTGGCTTTTGCTTCTTTGGCCTGCTGGTGGGTTGGGATGTTCTTCAACTTACCCAGCCGCGCTCGAATGCCTTTGGGTTGGGCTGCCGCATTCTGTTGCTGCTTGTCGTCGGGGCGTCCTCATGCGTTCTTCGAGTTTGGTACACTAGTGGCACTGCCATCGAACGCATGGACCCCCACAGCAACCCAGTGGCAGTGGAAAAGGACCCAGTTGTGCGCGCTTTATCGTACGCGTTGATCCACGGTATTTATGGCAAGCTTTTGGCCTGGCCAAGTTTCCTTTGCTACGACTACTCCTTTGATGCAGTGCCCCTGGTACGAAGCTTGTGGGACTGTCGCTTGCAGCTGACGCTTAGCAGCTATCTCGCGTTTATGGCGCTTTTGACTCTATCACTTGGGTCGTTGCGACAGCGTGCAGCGCGAGTGCACGAGATACCGGTCATTGGCATGGCCGTTTTTATTCTCAGCTTTCTGCCGATGTCCAACATTTTATTCCCTGTGGGCACAACAGTTGCCGAGCGTCTGCTTTACATCCCCTCAGCTGGCTTCCTTCTGGCAGTTGTTGGGCTTGCAAGGCTCCGTCCTGTACACAGTGCCATCTTCCTGCTGGCTGCTGGTGCGATCTTTGTGCCGCTCACAGCGCAGCGGGTGGTTGAATGGTCCAGCCCGGAGGCCATTACCGTCGCAGACGCTGCCAGGCAGCTGAGATCCACGCGGGTCCAGTACAACCTGGCCACGCACTACTTGTCAGCCAAACGCTACGATGATGCGTTGTCCTCCTTCGAGCGGGTCATGACCATTGATCCCACGGGCACGGACTGCATGCCCCTCTACCATGCCGGGCAGATCCACATCTACCAGGGGAACCACGCGAGGGCGGAGCAGCTCCTGGAGAAGGCGGTGGTGGGCCACTTCAGCCCTCTGCTGGTGAACGAGGAGGAGGTCTTCCATGACTACGGCCTGGCGCTGTGGTTCGCTCAGAAGCCTCAGGAGGCCATCACTAACTTTGAGAAGAGCCTGGCCATCAATGCCACCTTCACCAAAGGCCGGGAGCTTCCTCAGGCTCCAAGACGTTCCCTAGAACTGAATGCTCTGAGGGGTTCCCTAGAAGTGAATGTTCACTTGGAAAACTTCATTGGGAACTGAATTGATTCACTGGAGCTCTTCTGAAAGCCAGCCCCCAGGAGCTGGCGACATTTTGAAGCCATGGCTTGACGCCTCTCGCCTCTCTGCGAGGCCTCAACAACCTGGGCTGCGCCCTGGGCCTGGGCGCGGTGCTGAGCCAACTGCCGCAAGACTTTCTGGCCGAAGGGATCCAGCAGCTGCAGCGGGCGGTGCAGCTCAGCGGGGGCGCCTCGGTGCTCTACTGGCGGCGCCTCGGCCGGTTTTTTTTTTTTTTTTTTGGGGGGCTTGAGGAGGAAATGGCGGGCGCGCCACGTGGTGGGTTTGAAGCCCAGAGGTGTTGAGTGACAGGAGAGGGGCAGGGGCCCAGCTGGAGAAATGGGGCGGGTTCAGTTGGGGTCTACGGCACATGTTTGGGGCGTGGCAGGGGGTTGCATTCCCGCCCCTTAGAGGGACATTAGCTGCTTTCCACACGTTGCCTTTGCACATTGCCCGGCCGCATGCTTCGCCGTCTGTTTGGACGCGTGCTTTTCCGAGATTTGCAGTTTCGACGTGTCTGGTTGACAGGTGTGGAGGGAGGGGGGGGGGTACCTACGAAGAGAACATGCTTGACCAGGTAGGTGAAGATGCAGTGTAGTGCGGTGTTGGCTCCTCTGGCAAGCCTCTCAAGCTTGAGTGTACAGTGCACCCATTTCAGCCTTTAAAGGCTTTGAACCAAGCAAAAGCCCCGCCCTATTTTGCAGCTAAAACATACACCTCCTTTTTGGTTGAACCATTTGGGTACATCACCCTTTGGTTTAACCTATGAAAGGTATCCCTCCCTTTTCAGCTTCGACCCCTCCGGCTTTTTTTGCCTCGGGCCACATTTGTTTTTTGGCTTCGCGGCTTCGCCGCCGAAGCCGCCGGCGCCGCAGCGGAGGAACCTGGTGGCGCTGCTGCGCTTCGCGGGCCAGGAGGAGGCGGCCGGCGCCGCCTGGCGGCAGCTGCTGGAGCTGGAGCCCTCCAATGCCAACGACCCGCCGGAGGAAGCGAAGCCGACGCGGGAAGCGACCGGGGACGGGACGCGAGCGCCCGCAAGGGGGGTTGGTGGGGGAATGTGGGCGCTGTATTTATCAACCCCAGGCTAATAGTTATTTTTTTGGGGGTTTGTGTTGGGAATCGGACCACTTGGGAGGGGAACGCTCCGTCTATGAAGAAACTGGGGTTGATCAGTGTGGGGTCAACAGTCGTGGCTGCCAGTTGACTTGGGCTGAGACACGACAAATTAATGCCTTGGCTTGTTTCAGATTGATTCGACTTCGATGGTTTCGAAGTCGCTCGCCGCCCTGAAACTTTGCAATCACTTGGGGGTTTGGCGTGGTTTGGTGCGTGTGGGCCGGCCGTGCTCATCAGGGGTTGTTCTCCGTTCAGTGAAGAATAGATTCAGGTAAGGGGGTGGGTGGGTCGTGTGGGTGGGTCGGTGGGTGGGTGTCTGTGGGTGTCTGTGGGTGTCTGTGGGTGTCTGTGGGTGTCTGTGGGTGTCTGTGGGTGTCTGTGGGTGTCTGTGGGTGTCTGTGGGTGTCTGTGGGTGTCTGTGGGTGTCTGTGGGTGTCTGTGGGTGTCTGTGGGTGTCTGTGGGTGTCTGTGGGTGTCTGTGTGTCTGTGGCGTGCGAGATCTCTCTTCTGACAGGATTGCAGCTGGGAGTTCAACTTTCGCTGAGGGCGAGCGACAAAGGGCTGCGTGCGCTCGAGCAAAGACGGCAGAGCACAGAGTTGTTAGGACTTGTTTGATTTTGCACCCCCTGCATCACATCTCCCTTGGAGGATTGGCCAACGCGGCCGCGAAGATTTCCATATCTTGAAGGAGGGGGACAAGCTGCAGGCACTGGCCCAGTTTTTCAGAGCGATGGCAAAGGCTTGTGCCCTTGTCAGGCAATTTATCCCACATTCCCTCTTGCCACGGGCAGTGGCGAGGAGGCATTGCTTGCTGTCTTTCGGGGTGGCCATTCTTTGGTGCACGACCTTGCAGGCATGCGGGCCCGACGAGTATGGCAGCGGTCGCCACTTCCAGGTGAAGGGCATGCCCAACGACGAGGCGTGGCGAAGCATCACGGTGTGAGCTGTGGCCGCCCCGAGAAGGTTGAGCTCTCGCTCTACGTGGAGGACGGTCAGGCGTGCCTACAAATAACGTAGGGTGCCACCGCAGCGCTTAAAATTCGCCATGCAGGTGACAGTGAGGACCTTCACTGCTGCGTCCCGGCGTTCCAGGCGTCACACTAGAAGTTTCAGAGTGAAGGGAACAACAAGCTGCTGGCTGCATAGCTAGTTTGAATGGTGCATTCGTGCTTTCGCCCGTCCCCCTGGAAGCAGGCAATGGGAAAGCATCAAGGGTTGGGCTCGACATTCCTACTCGGTCATTCAGCCTGGAGGACAGGTACTTTTGGCGTGCGTTGAGCGTTCGGATTTCTGAAGTGCACATCGGATGCCGATGGGCAGACATACGCGCACGGACACACACGGGCTCTCGAATCACAGATCTTGACGAGGGAGGTTGCTGCAAGCTTTTTCCAGGACTTTCTGCCCCGATGACGTCTCAGCCTCAGCGTTTCCACCGCCTTCGGAGCGACCCAGGATGCCTTGGTTTCAGGATGGACGCCCGCCGTTCTGGGGTCTTCACTTGCATGATCGACGTCGGGCAGGCGGGTGCAAGACAGTCAGAGTCGAGTGCTTTGGTAAATGTGCAGAAGTTCGACAAGCAAGCGGGCGCGTTCTGCTTCCACTTCCAGGCCCGAGCAGGCCGAACTGGCAGATGCCTTGCCCCAAGCCCAGGTTGCCATTGACGGTGACAGCCGATGGGCGGGAAAGCCCAGCTACGCGCAGAGAAAGTGACCTCCCTCGGGCCGCACTAGAGCTGTCCCGGGTGCCGGGCACGCTTTGAATGCCAAGGTCTTCCACCCGAGGCAGGTCGGTGGTCTATCCGGCGAGGCCGGGGCCATTCTCAGGAAGTTGAGTGGCCTGAGACATGCGCTAGGTCATCGTAAACAGACCGCCGCTCCATGGAAGTGGCATCGCACCTAGAGAAACGCTCGGGAAACACACGCACACATTTGAAAGACCCAGCGCCAGATGGGTCAAAAGACCAGCTTTCTTAAACGCAGGGGTGGTCAATAATCCCATGACTAGGACACCTTGGTCAGAAGGGCTCGTACTGAGAGCAGCCAGGGCCATGGGCCAAGGAGTTTTCGCCCACACTGTGAGAGGTTCCGACCTGCAGTTCACCATCTACAGCCCAGCTCCTGGCAGGCGCAGCTGAGTGAAAGCCAGACATTTGTCGTGGTGAGCACACCTCGTCGCCTGGGGCAGGTTTGGTCAACGACTTTTGGATAAGGTAGTACATGATAAAGGGTCTTAAGGCAGCCGTGACCAGAGCCCATAGAAACGCTTTTTGTTTGACCACGGCACAAGTGGCTGTGGGTCAAAACCAATGGTACCATTTTGGGGTAGGTGCACCGCCCATTTTAGTCTATTTTAGTGGGGATTGGGATGTTCACTGGAGATACGGGCTTTTGCCCCATGGCCAAGTGAGAACAGCTGCGTTTTTCCTACTTGACGTGGGTGGTGCCGCAGCCAGGAACTTTAAGATCACCCTGGACCTGACTGCAGAGGACGGACGAAGCAGGGAGGAGGAAAGCTGGGGAGCAAAAGCATACCCACTCCACTCAGGACAGGAGGCATACGGTGACGTGGGCAGCTGTGTGAAGCTCAAGCAGTGCTTGATTGCTCTCATCAGCCAGTGCGGATGTACAAATCGTTGCGAGCTTAAGCTTGTATTTGTTGATAGCTTGAAAGTTAGACGATGTCGTGCTTGGCTGGTGGCAAAGTCCGGGAAGCACTGCCAGTACAAGGTACCTCGCCCGTCGTTTTTGCCACTCTTCAGCCGTGAATTGCAAAATAGATGGCAGCTGTGTGGCCCAAGCACCACCCAAGAGGCTGGGAAGCGCAACAGAGCAAACACAAAGCTGCAGGACGCGCTTACTGAGCTGCTAGTAGGAGAGCAGGGCCCTTCCACCACAGCTTGTTCACTGTCCACATGGAAGACTTGACGACTTTGGTTCAGCAGCCCCGCTGCGAAAGTACGCAATTCAGCTCCATGGGAGTGCAGTGCTCAGGCTCCACGTTACAGGTTTCAGCCCATGTTGGCGCTGTTCTCAGGCCGCGGGGTCGCAGGCCAGGCCATGGCCCACTTTGGTGACTTGGGCTGCAAGTTGAGCCGAGACGCTGTGGCTGGGGTGGGGCGAGCTGCTGTGGCCATGGCAGGTCACTCCTAGGTTCTGCCGCCAGCTTTGCTGCGAGGCATCCGGTGAGGATGCGCGCGCCTGAAAGCTGCCTGCGATGCGTCGTGCTCTTTTTCTTTCTTCAGTCAGATCCGCTCGCACAGAGCTTCCGGTGGGAAGGTCATCGAGCTCTTTGATACGACGGCCAAGTCTACCATGGAGGAGCATGAGTTGAAGCCGCTTGCAAAAAGGGAGGCGCACCATTGAAGATGCCTTTGCACAATTCACTCGCAAATTCACCAGTCGTTTAACCAGTTCAGGACGCGGCATGGAGCACCAAGATGCTGCAAGCTTCGTATCAGAGGCGCGGTTTCGGTGTGGCGAAACCCAGGGGCGCGCTGAGCCGCGGGCGATGACGGCCGTACCTTTTGCAGGGCCACCGGCTGGCCGGAGCATTTTGAGCACGAGCGGCTTGGCTAACCTTGGCCGGGACGAATGGGATTCACAAAAAGCGATCGAGGCTCGATGAGCTGCGCATCCTTGGGGTCCTCGGCTTCGAGCTGCGAGGCCTTAGTTTGCCGTTTGCGCATGCCAATGTTTGTGCGCGCGCGCGCTTGCTTGCTTCTCTCCTTTTTGTTTTTTGTGTGTGTGCGTGCGTGCGTACACGTTTTTGTCTCAATTCTGTGTCTTTGTTTCTTGCTTTCTTGCTTCTTTCTTCCTGGACTCCTTGCCTCCTTCCTTGCTTCCCTTCCTTTTTCCCTCCCTCCCGCCTCCCTCCCCCCTCCCTCCCCCCTCCCTCCCCCCTCCCTCTCCCCTCCCCCCCCCCCCTCCCTCCCTCCCCTCCCCTCCCCTCCCCTCCCTCCCCTCCCCTCCCCCTCCCTCTCCCCCCCCTCCCCTCCCTCCCCTCCCCTCCCCTCCCTCCTCCCTCCCCCCTCCCCTCCCTTCCCTCCCCTCCCCTCCCTCCCCTCCCCTCCCTCCCTCCCTCCCCTCCCCTCCCCCTCCCCTCCCCTCCCCTCCCTCCCCTCCCCTCCCTCCCCTCCCCTCCCCTCCCCTCCCCTCCCTCCCCTCCCCTCCCTCCCTCCCCTCCCTCCCCCCTCCCCTCCCCTCCCTCCCCTCCCCTCCTCCCCTCCCTCCTCCCCTCCTCCTCCCTCCCCTCCCTCCTCCTCCCTCCCCTCCCCCTCCTCCCCTCCCCTCCCCTCCCTCTCCCTCCCCCTCCCCCTCCCCTCCCCTCCCTCCTCCTCCCCTCCCCTCCCCCTCCCTCCCTCCCTCCCTCCCCCCTCCCCTCCCCTCCCTCCTCCCCCTCCCTCCCCTCCCCTCCCCCCTCCCCTCCCTCCCCTCCCCTCCCCTCCCTCCCTCCCCTCCCTCCCCTCCCTCCCTCCCTTCCTCCCTCCCCTCCCCTCCCTCCTCCTCCTCCCTCCCCTCCCCTCCCTCCCCTCCCCCTCCCCTCCCTCCCTCCCTCCCTCCGCCTCCCTTCCTTACTTCCTTCTTTCTTGCCTTCCTTCCTTCCTTCCTTCCTTCCTTCCTTCCTTCCTTCCTTCCTCCCTGCCTCCCTGCCTCCCTGCCTCCCTGCCTCCCTGCCTCCCTGCCTTTCTTCCTTTCTTCCTTTGATCCTTTGTTATTTTCTTCCTTTTCTTCCTTGCTTCCTTTCTTCCTTTCTTCCTTTCTTTCTTTCTTTCTTTCTTCCTTTCTTCCTTTCTTCCTTTTTTCCTTTTCTGCCTTTCTTCCTTTCTTTGTTCTTCCTTCCTTCCTTCCTTCCTTCCTTCCTTCCTTCCTTCCTTCCTTCCTTCCTTCCTTCCTTCCTTCCTTCCTTCCTTCCTTCCTTCCTTCCTTCCTTCCTTCCTTCCTTCCTTCCTTCCTTCCTTCCTTCCCTTCCTTCCTTCCTTCCTTTCCTTCCTTCCTTCCTTCCTTCCTTCCTTCCTTCCTTCCTTCCTTCCTTCCTTCCTTCCTTCCTTCCTTCCTTCCTTCCTTCCTTCCTTCCTTCCTTCCTTCCTTCCTTCCTTCCTGCTTCTTGGCTAAGGAATGTTGCCTGTATCCGGCTCTTGGGGTAGGCGGTAAGACGTATGCGCTTCCGGTGGGAAACCACGTCTTTTGCACAGCAACGGGACAGCCATCTCTTAAAGCTGTGACGCCTTGAGCATCAGCAACGCACAAGAGCCGGCCGGAGAAGCCATGCGATCCCAATGGCTCGGAGAAAGAAGACACAGCTGAAGCAGACTCTTAGCCGCAGTCATCACCCTGGTCAGCACCGCCCGTTTGACCCTTGCCAAGCCTGCAATTCAGGGCCGTGCTTCGGTGGGAGTGTGTCCAGATGGTGTTCCAAAGCATCTGAGACTGGGAATTGCAGCAAGTCGAATCGTCGGTGAGCCCAACCCCACAATATGGGAATGGGTCAAAAGGAAACCACCAGGAGACCGCAGGTTTTAGTCCTTGGTTCCATCTACCAGGGCTCCATTTTGGGGTTACCCGATTTTTGACCCACAGCCATATGACGAGGAAGGGTGGCGCGGAGCCGGAGCCAGACCCAACACCGGATCCAGAAGCAGTTGCCAGCGTCGATGTCCAGCGCCTTGCCCGCAAATCGCAACAGGTTGAACGTTCGGGTTTGCCGATTTTTCAGCCGCAAACGAATACCAAGGCTGAGCAAGCGCAGTGCGAAGAAGCAGAAGAAGGCAGCGGCAAAGGCAGCGGCAAGGGGCAACGGGTGACGCGGGCGTGGACCAAAGTATGGCAGTGCTACTTATTGGTCGCGATGCTGAGCAATAGAAAGGGTTTAGGGTTTGGGGTTGAATTAGATTTGTGTGTTCTGCAGAGACCTGAGCCAATCAATCGTGTGAGTCTCCTGGCATTTCATTTTGCACAACCAGCAAGCAAAGAACATGCCAGGATCACGTGCCAAATGAACAGGGTTCTGAAATCAGGAAAGATAGCAAGAAAGAAAGAAAGAAGGAAGGCAAGAAAAAAGGAAGGAAAAGAAAGAAAGAAAAGACTGAAAGAAAGAAATAATCAAAGGAAGGATGGATGGAAGGAAAGAAGTAAGGATGGATGGAAGGAAGGAAGGAAAGAAGGAAGGAAGGAGGGAATAAGAAAAAGAAAAGGGGAAGAAGAAGAAGAAGAAGAAGAAGAAGAAGAAGAAGAAGAGGAAGAAGACAGCCCCGTTTATATTTGCAGCTCCTCGCACGTGCCAGGTAAGCTTGTCAGGTTTCAGAGAGTCGAAGCTTGAACTAGAACGCTGCACTGCTTGAATGCCCCCTATGCTTGAATACTCCAATCCAACGCGTGAATGCCTTAATGCAGTGCGATGCGCCACTTTTTCGAGTGCCTAGCTGGCCAGGGTCTCATTCATTCGGGTGTATCCAGTGGAGGATATCATCGTCGGTGCTCCGAGACACGTCAGGCAGCAGCGGCTGCAGCACTAGAAGCAGCAGCGCCGCCGCAGCCGCCGCAAGCCAGGGAGTCCATTGAGGACATTTTTGCGAAAGGAAGGAAGAGAACAGCTGATGCAAAGACGTCTGCAGGACAGTTGGCGGAATGAGTGTTGGAAGCAGTTGCTCCTGCATGTGCTTCATTTGGTGGGGCTTGTCAAGAGTTGCCCTGCTACAGCGCATTGTCACAGTGTTTGTTTGGCAGCACATCCCCAGGAGATGATGCCAATGTGAGTGCAGCAAAAGAGCGGAAGCCCAAGAGGCCGAAGAGGGGGTCGGCAGAGGACCCACTTGGACGGCCAAACGCCCAGATTTTTCTACCAGTTCGTTCTACGACAGCTGTCCTTTTCATGTTTGCATGCCTTGTCACGTTCGTTCAAGGTCTGGAGACTGGGCAGACGATGGGCTGGGTGGAGTCTACAACAATGAGGGATGGACTGGCAGGCGCACTGACGATCAGATGCGCATCTTTAAGGCACACTTAATCAAGGTGGGTCAGGGTGGCGGAACGCCGCAGTGCCCTTTCGACCCTTGGCTGCACTAGATTTGTTTTTTTTCCGAGGGTGCCCTTTTTTAGCTTGGTTTGCAGGGGAACCAAAAAAGAGAGCCGCCACCAGTAGAAGCTCCAGCGATATGGCAGCTGCCGAACACTTTGTCCTTGCCCCTGAGGATTGTGACTGCTGCCACTAGCAGTTGACAGCCTGGCATGCTCAATTCGCGGCACTTGAGAAACCCAATGCGTTTGCGCGCTGCACCGGGTTGGTCATTTGCATGGCCTGCTTCCATTTCTGTGGAGGCTTTGGGCCGCGGTGCTGCCCTGAGCATCCCTGAGCAAGCAGCAGACAAGTTGCCATCGGCCCTGCGGCCCTGAGGCCACCCCATCGCTTCCGCTCTGGGGCGGTCTACGTAGGTCGGGGAGGTGCTAGGTCGCCAGCGGGAGCGAAGCGCGCGAAGCGAGGTCAATGGTGCGGCAATCAGCGTCATGGCTTCGGGCGGCAGACTTGGTGTGGAGCCTGGAGGGCCTGAGCCGAACGCAAAGCGGTTGGACCTCTGAAAGAAAGCTCGTACTTAGAGCAACTGGCTGGCATGGCCAAGGCCGGATGGAGCTCAGTACGAAGGCACTTGGCCCGGCGCCCAGCTGGTAGTTACCAGTGCTTGAGATTCCATCGAGCGCCAAGGTCCAACAGCAGTGCATCTGGGCGATGACCTTGGCCAGAAGATGCGGGCAGTAGTCAGTCAACAACAAATTCTGCTTGTTCTGTCCAGGGCGATCACAGGTGGCTGGCTGTGGAGGTCTCTTCTTGGCTGGGTCTTGCCTGCGAGGCAGGGACGCTTCAAATTCCCGGACGGTGCTGCCCGAGCCTTGATATCAGGAGCTTGCTTTACAGGCTGCCAGCTAGCCTTTGTTCTGCCTGGACATTCCTGGTTTTGGCGCCATACTGGAATTAGCGCTGTTTCAGCTACGTTCTGATTCTCCATGCTTTCCCCTCTCGCACCAACTCTTGCTTGCTGGGAGCCCATTGCGCTCGCTGGAGAAGCAAAAACCTAGAATTGGAAAGGAGCGGCGGAAATGGAAGGAACTCTCGTAAGGGGCCGACGGTGTTGCCATGTGCGCGAGGTGTATGTGGGCCAGTGGCGCGGCAACCGCTTCCATGGTGTTCCGAGCGGTTTGTCGGGGCTTGGCACATGGGTCAAAAGCCCGGTTCCCCCCCAGTCAACATCCCAATCCCATTTTAGGGTTCTAAAATGGGTGGTGCACCTATCCCAAAATGGTACCATTGGTTTTGAACCATGGCCGTTTGGCCGTTGGCCGCGCCCAGCGCCAGGCTATGGTTCGCACTACTTGGCAGATGGATCCTCCTATCGTGGCCAGTGGGCCAGCGGCCAAGCGGAAGGTGGAGTTGCCTGAGATCACTTTTCCATTCGAGGTGCATGGTTACCGTGACGGCGTGGGTGTGGAAGTGTGCAACGCCCTCATGCGCGTCGATTTGATGCAATCCCTGATGCCTGTCTTCATGTCCTGTACGCAAGTGGGGCTCAACTTGCGACAGAGTTCAGTAGATACATAGCCGCCATGGAGCGTGCTGCTTGGAATGCAGGTGACCTTGCGACGTGTGAGAAGGTGCTATCAGGTCTTTTGCAAGATGACGTTCTATTTCGCAGTGATTTGCTTCGACCACTGCGAAGTGCTGTCATTCAGCTTGCGAGCAAGTTGTGGAAAGGGAAGAAAGCCGAAGAGAGTGTCGCAGAGCCTCAGCTGAGTCCAACCACCAAAGAGCCACGCGCAGAGCCCGACGTTGGAACCTGCGAAGTGAAGCCAGCGCAATTCAGCCGGCTGCTCTATACAAACCCAGTTTGCATCCTGAGCTCCTGCGATGCATCCATGCGCCGGAATCTGATGACGATCAGTTGGCTGACCCCCATGGACAACCAAGGGCGTTTTCTGTGCTCGCTAAACAAGAGCAGGCATTCGGCGGGTGGCGTGCTGTCCCAGCGAGTCTTTGTTCTTAACGTGCCGACTGCGGAGCTTGCCCAGACGGTTTTGGATGTGGGCGGCTGCAGCGGGAGCTGCGTGGATAAGATCGAACGCTTCTCCGAGGCTTTGGGCGGGTGTTGCCGTCCTGGCTGGGAGCCGCTGGAGTGGCCTGGAGACATGGACCTCGGCGCGCCGGTGTTTGCCCTGGCTGGCTGCGTGGCGCACCTGGTGGTCCGGGTGCAGGCGGACTTGACTGCGGCATCGGGGCAGGATGCGCATCACGTCCTCAGCTGCGCTACGCTCCGCGCCGTGGTGCGGAGAAGCCACTGGGACGGGAAGATCTTTTCCCCACGGCATGGGGCCTCGCCTTACTTGACCTTCTTCGGAAGCCAGACATTTGGCTATGTCCTGCCAACATGTGAAACAATTCGAGCTCCATGAGTTCGACTGCCAACATTGCCATCAGCGCCGCCTTCCGTCTGCCAGGTGCCAAGTGGGGTAAGAGGTGACATGCCAAGCAGAGATGGTGCGTCAACGTGCAGCCGCTACCAGCGTCAACGCCTGTAACCTCCACTCACATGCCGCACCTTGCAGCCTCGAGAAGCTTGACACGCCAGTCCCTCTCTTTTGAGCTTCCAAGCTGCGGCGTAGTATGGAGAGGGCTGGGGCAACGTCCTGTTGGTAGAAAAAAATGCACAGCAAGTGTGCCAAGAGAACTGCTGGTGGAGAAACAGTGCACATGCGCTGGCACCTATGAAGTTGCGGGAATTTGCTGTTTGGAAGGCTGCCAGTAAATGCCTTCCAGTCAACCTAGCTCGTAAATTCCATGTTTGTTTGTTTGGGGTCCCTGTCGGCTCAAGCATCGCTTCTTGGACACCTGAGCAAGTCAGCCACACTCGCTAGGCCCACACAAGTCTGCTTGATTCTCGGAACTCTCTGATTAGCCATGTGGCGCTCGCTTCGTCGTGCTGCGGCTCTCTGCTTCACTGCGCGTCTCGCCGTCTATACCATTGCAGCTTAGCTCAAGGTGGCACGTGAATGACACAAAGTCGGAGCTTGTGACATGGACTCGGGTGCACCAATCAGCCCTCAGGACGCCTTCGTTCCTGCTTCGAGATGCTTGGCCCAAGATTGTTCGATCATGTCTGAGCCCTGCGCGCCAGCCCTTATGTCCTCTGCCCGAGGGACCGGCGTATCTGGTCGCGCTGCAAGATTTTCTGCCCGCCGCGCTGAAGTCTCGGGGGCCAGCGTCTCAGTCCGTCGACATGTCATGGGATTGCTAGGTTCTGTGGCCTGCGGCCGTTGCCGGGGCCAGGCGCTGCCGAACCTTCCCAAGTACGTGGAGATTACGGAGGAGGCGCTCCTCGCTGCGGCGGTCGTGCAGGGAAAGAGCCTCGCCCCGCACCTGCCGTCCATTTGCTTCACTTTGGCCTCGCTCCATTTCCGAAGTTCCAAGGCCGGAGGATGTGAAAACGCTGCTGGAGTCAGGCGGGGTGCGGGCAATGCTCCCCTTGGCCCGGCTCTCACGCCAGGTGCCCCGCTGGAGGCCATTGCGGCCAAGGGCCGCACGGCGCTGGCCTGCGCGGCCGTAGCTCGGGACATGAGCTCCGCGGGGGGGGGGGGGGCGGCCTGGAGTGGGGACAATTTGGGATCCCATTTTGGTAGGTGAATTCACCACCCATTTTAGAACCTATTTTAGTGGGGATTGGGATGTTCACTGGGGGTACGGGATTTTGACCCATGGCCAATTGCGCTTACACGATTTTAGCCGAAGGGGACGATGCGCTGAGGTGGCCAATGACGTGGAGAGCACCCGCCTTCTGTTGGATGGAGGTGCTCTGATGGAGGCAGGGACGGTTCCTTTGCGCAAACTTGGTTTTGAGGGCGGAAGTGTTGGATCAGGCGCTTGATGACAGTGGGCGAACACCTTTGGCCTTGGCGGCATCGTACGGTAACGCAGCTCCTTCGTCTGCATGGGTTGGTCTGAGCTGTTCCACCGTGGCTTTTCAATGCACGCAAACATCACCAGGGACCGTGAACAAAATGCCGTGACCCTTCAGAACGAATCCTAGGGTCCTACATGTCTCCTTTTGGAGGTTTGACACGTCGTGGCACTCTTCAACCCCCACAAAAGCAGATTGCGCTGCAGTGTGCATGCCATCTGAGGATGTCACACAAGTTCTGGTTGATGCTGGCGCAAAGGTGAATGCACGAGACAAAGGTCAGATGACCCCGTTGCTGTGGGCGGCTGTGAATGGCAACGAAGGCCAGCAGCAAAGAATTTGTGCTAAATGTCCAGTTGAGAAGTGAGGCAAGGTGCGATACAGGACCCCTTTTAGATTGTGTTTGAAGGGGATGCGCAAGGAAAACCACCGCTGCGGGAACCTCTAGTGATATTGGACACCCATTTTGGTCAGGTATCCTAGTGAGAGTCAAGTGAGCAGCTCGCCCTGCGCCAGATGTGGTGCGTTCCCTGGTGGCCAGCGGGGCAGACATTGAGGCGGCTGACGACGATGGCATGCGCCTTGGCAGGCGGTGTGGAGACGCCGGCTGCTTTCGAAGACTTCGCCAAAGTTAGCACGGAACGGTGTAGCCAATAGCGCTTCGCGTAGCCGCATGGCGAGTTTTAGAGATGCTCGATTGCGGGAGGTGTTGGCCCCTTCATCACAACATCGTGCCAAAACAAATTGTCAGCTGCGAGCTCGAATGGCCAGGATTGGCCAAGCAAGAAACAAATTAAGGACGGCCATGAAGCTCGCGGGGGTCTTTAAGCGTACCGGGGTCCAAAAGTGCTTGGCAGAGGCCGGGGGGGGAAGGATGTCATGGAATCTTCCGGGGGGGCTATGGGGGGGCTATCCCTGGATAAGCCCAGGATAACCCAAGGGTAAGCCCTTAATAAGGCCTTATTAAGGGCTCAATGAGGGATAGCCCCCCCCCCCTCCCCATAGCCCCCTTTAAGGTCCATTGGATGGCATGTCGCAGGTGCGGATGTCACATGGGATGGGCGGTGCCAGGCTTCCCAGAAGAGAGCCTGAGGCCAGCATCCAGGTTGCCTGGGCTTGTAGTCGCGGGCAGAGTTCCCAGCTGTCAAAGTATACAGTAGGCGAAGGCTTCCGAAATTTCGGCCTTGGAAATCTTTCAAATACGTTTGCCAAACGCAGTCCTGGAACGAGTGAGGTGGCACTGCGAGTTTTGGGGTCCGGAGTGAATCCACAGCACTCGTATCTTCCCAAATGTGGGCGCGCGGCTGTGTCCAGTTATTGGCCTTGGCCGCCCTTGTGTAGCTGAGAGTGCCAAAGCTGCGAAGCAAGGCGCAAAAGACCGCCGTGTTTTGTGAGCAGCTTTGGTTTGATGAACCAACGGGCGTGGTTGGCCACGGTTGCCGCCAACTTCTCTGAGGTGAAGCCCAGGAGGGCACCCCTGCCCCAGACCCAGGCGCGTGCAAACGATGGTTAGGTGCACGCAGCCCAGGCATCAACATATTGGGGTGAATTCTGCCGTGGGCAGAAGGCCTGGAGTCCAATCTATGTTTTTTCCTTTCAAGGGTCTGTTCTGCAGGAGGGTCTCGGCATTGGCGAGTGGGACGAAGGCAGCCGCTACATGGGCCAGCGATGCGCCCAGCGTTGTTGGCTGTAGCCGAAACGCCACCTCTTGGCGTGCCGAGGTGGCGTTTAGGAATCTCTTTTGGCTATGGCGTCCTAACTTCCGAAGAGGGCAAGCGCCAGTACAGGCCAGGCGTCACATCCCACTGTTGCTGGGGTTTTTGATGGCACGTGTGGCTACAATTCTAGCACAAATGACTTGAGGGAAACAGTGCTGCATGGACCCTTGTAAGCTTTTCCGTGGAGCAGCGCCGGCAAGGGGCCAGTTCCTTCAAGCGCAGAAGCACGGCGCGCGAGCTGGACGGAAAATTTGCACAGACTGATGCTGGCATCCACCCAGGTAGAGGTGTTTACAGCTGGCCGGACGGCCGCTGCGCACCTAATGTGCAGGACTTCACCACTTGTCCCACGGTGTTGGATCCTCTTGTAAGGCGAGCACCGGGGAAACTACCAGCTGGACCTCGCATTTGGCTTCGGTACGTTTTGCTGGCTGAGCACTCAGCTACTCATACGCCCCCAACATGTGTTCACAGGGGCGCTAAGCTCGTCACATTTTGTTTGTTGGCCTTGAAACAGAAAACGAAGAAGAAGAAGAAGAAGAAGAAGAAGAAGAAGAAGAAGAAGAAGAAGAAGAAGAAGAAGAAGAAGAAACAGAAGGATAAGAAGAAGAAAAAGAAGGAGAAAAAGAAGGAGAAAAAGAAGAAGAAGAAGGACAAGAAGGAGAAGAAGGAGAAAAAGAAGGAGAAAAAGAAAAAGAAGAAGGAAAAGAAGGAGAAGAAGGAGAAGAAGAAGAAGAAGAAGAAGAAGAAGAGGAAGAGGAAGAAGAAGAAGAAGAAGAAGAAGAAGAGAAGAAGAAGAAGAAGAAGAGGAGGAAGAAGAAGAAGAAGAAGAACAAGAAGAAGAAGAAGAAGAAGAAGAAGAAGAAGAAGAAGAAGAAGAAGAAGAAGAAGAAGAAGAAGAAGAAGAATACTGTCTTCAACTTGCACCGTGCCTAGGCCTGAAGGGTGTCAGTATCACGGCTTTTGGCTGTACGCCCAGATTTCAGGCTCGAGTCTCAGTGCACGTCCGATGTACGGGATCACGCCACGCAAGGCCCAGGGCTCTTCACAGATGCCGAGGGCAACCAGGGGCAGGGCCCTCGAGGGGGCTCTGTCGCAAGCAGCGGGCACCGCCAGGGGCACCCGCGGCACACGCGCCAGGCCACTTCCGGAGAGCCTGAAAGCTAGCCTTTGCATTCCGGAGCCGAAGGCTCGCCCGTTTTTGATTTTGCAACACCCATTTTCTCCCGTGGGCGAGAGCCCGTTTGCCCCCGAACTCTGAAGAGACTTCCCCATCACACCCGCTGTCAAAGCAGGAACTGCGGGGATTTGCGTGGCATTTGGTACACATGTTCCACAGGGGGAAGAGGCCAGAGCTAGCCAGAATCACACGGCTCACAGCCGCTTGGAATCTCTAAAAGAATCTTGCCAACCCTTTCGCACCAAGGAGTAGGGCCCTTCACTATTTCAACTGCCCAAATTGTGCACGCATTCAACATGTGTTTTGCTGCATGATTCAGCTTGATATCTACCCTCCATTCAGCGGTTGCAGAGGTGTAGATATGTGGTGAAACAAATTGAGCACTTGTGTTTGGTTTCGGGGGTGCCAGAGTTGCTCAGTGAACGGGCGCATCTCTTTGGGTGGGGTGGGGTTACAGTAGCGGTTGGGAATCTTGATCCGGCTTGCTCCTGAAGCTCCCCCAGTTGATATTTGTTTAATGCCTCAACGGATGGATAGACGAAAACCACATCCAAACCATCCGCTGCTGGATGGATGTCGCTTGCTTGAAGCGGCGTGCCTCTCAGACAGTTGGCTCGAGAGCCTGAGACGCCCAGCTGGCGAACCGACCTTCCATGGCAGCCGCGCCGCCTCGCGGCCGCAGTCCAGCAGTCCAGAAAATTGGGTGGGCGTGTCTGACTGGTTGAGTTTCCAGGTGACTCTCCCTCGCTTGGCCCTGTTGCCAGGCTTTCGCTGACTTGCTGCAGCGCAGTGCTCCAGACGACGCCTGGATATAACAGCGATCGTTCTCAAATCAAAGCGGCAGGAATGGGTTGCCGTGGAAGTCGAAGACAGAGCGGCTGAAGGAAAAAGAAGAAGAACCACAGTTGACACAGCAATAGCGAGGGCCTGGGCTATTTGAATCTTTAAGGTATGAAGGCCGCGACAAGGCGGCGAGATTCTTGCAGTTCGCTGCCCGGTTCCTGGTTGGAATTACCTCTTCAGCTGCCTGGTCGCAACGTGCAAAACTGGCGAAATGGCGTGATGTCGGCATTTGTTCCCTTTCTATCCCCTTTCCCTCCCTTACGCTCTTGCCCTCCTGTCGGTCCTGGGTGGCGACGCGTTAGTTGTGGTTTCGTTTTGGCCTCAGTGTTTTGCTTGTTTAGGTCCGCTTTTCGGCACGGCAACGATTCCAAGCCATGCGTCATTAGAGCCAAGAAAAGTGTGTCCTCCGACACCCCATGCCCCACAAGAGTGATTTCAGTTTGGAAGCGTATGCGCTCTGACCTCACCCCTTTCCTAAGCATGCCATTCGAGACAAAGACATGGGTGTAGGGAAGCCTGCTTCAACAACGGTCGTTATCGACTCAGGCTCAAGGCCTGGTACTCCTCAAGCTGGGCAGCGACGCTCGCAAGCTGCTGTCTGCCATGACCACCGCCAGACGAACCTTCCGCCTGGGTCGCGGCTCGTCATTTTTAGCCCCCCCCCCCCCCAAGGTGCGACCGTTTGGGCCAGCCATGGGGCCGAAGGAGAGCTACCAGTGCTTCTTTCAGTGCCTGATGTGCTTCGGAGACAGCAGCTGTCAGATCGAGTGCTGGAGCTGGCGCAGAAGGCCAGCGGATGTCGCTCCGATCGTTCCGTCGGCAGCGGGTGGCACAATCCAACGCTTGCCTTGCAGGTGGCACTTGTGATGTACTTTCTCGTGGACCACATCGGCTGGCTGAAGCAGGCCTGTGGCTTTTTAAAGCAAAGCCAAAAGGAAAACCGCAACTTTAGGGGGAAGCCAACCTAAGAAGAGACACACCCATATGGGTATTGCTCTTCGAAATAGGCTCGGTATCCTCGAAAACGTTCTCAAAATGGTGGAGACCCTGTATATTAAAGGGAAACCAAAAAGGGAAACCAACCATTTGAAAGGGACCGATTCCTATTTTCAGTTAAAGGGAAGCAACTTTTGGTTTGTGGGGGGGGGAGATTCCTATCTTCCAAAAGCATAGGTGTCCATTTGGGAAAATAGATGGCACGTGTGGCTTTGGTTCATGGAGTTCATGCGAGAGCTTTGGCAGGTACGCAGCGGTGCGAAGAGCGGCTCCAAGACCATCCAGCTGGGGCTGAAGTGGCTGGCAATATCCAGCCTCATCTCGATGCTGCTGGGTCGCAGGTTCTGGAGGGGCGCCGCATGGGGCTTGGAGACTTGAAGAGTGAGAGCACAGCTGCCCAGGTTGAACGAAGTCCGCAAATGCCGATCTGAGAGCGGCGAGCCGTGCAAGGCATGGATTGGGACCCCAGATGACTTTCTCAAGGGTGGTGGCACCTTTGGTGTGTTCATGCCGAACTGTGCCAACCTGAATGCCTGCTGAACTTCAACTCTCCTGCAAAAGGGCCACTCAAAAATTGGTGCGGATGGCAAGCACCAAACTCGGCTGGGCGAGGCACGGGGCTTCAACATCCTCAGGGACAGCCTGGTGGCAGTCCAAGCCCTGCACCTGTCCCGGTGGCTGGAAGTCGGTGCCTTTGCCTGCACTGAAGTTGGGGGCAAACTCTGGAGGGTGATGAGTGATGTGTGAGAAGGCCAGGGCTTGTTGCTTTTGTAGAGCTGGTGGTTTGTTAAAAAATGGATGGGTGGGTGGATGGGTGGGTGGGTGGATGGATGGGTGGATGGGTTGGGTGGGTGGATGGATGGATGGATGGGTGGACGGATGGGTGGATGGATGAATGGGTGGATGGATGGATGGGTGGACGGATGGGTGGATGGATGAATGGGTGGGTTGGTGGGTGGATGGGTGGATGGATGGATGGGTGGATGGATGCATGGATGGATGGATGGAGGGAGGGATGGAAGGATGGATGGAATTGGTGATGACCTGAGCACTTTTTCGCAGGTGGGTGGTTTGTTGCTCTTTTTGGATGGTGGAGGTCCGTCTGCAACATGCAAAGGCAACCGGATGAGCATCTGGATTGTAGGGCTGTCCTCCCCTGAGGTGATGCAACAATTGGCATCTTTGGAGCCTCAGCCGCAAGCGACTTTTAGAGGTTCGGCGGCGCATGGTGAAGTCCATGCCAGCGATGCGTTGTGTTTTGGTTTGTGTGAAGGCATGGCTTCCAGCATCATGGATATCATGCGGGTATGGCCTGCAGACACAACCTTTGTCAGCAGTGCAAAGGCTGGGTGCTGTCATGGGAACGCTGGTTGGCGTTGAACTTTGTTTGACCTTGAAGCTTTGCCCGTGCCTACCCTTTGCCCTCTTGAGGGAGGGCAGTGAATGCCACCGGAAAAGAGGTGTGGATGGTCGCCATGCTTCGGAACATGTAGGGTTGACCGTGGCCGTGTTCGGCCCCCATGCTTCGACGCATGGAGTTGGCTGTGCAGGCTCTTCAGATTTCGGAGGCTGATTCCCTGCAGCTTTGGCAAATCAGTCACGGAGATGTTGCATAGATGAAGCGCGCCCGTTTGGTGCAAGCAATGGCAGGTTGTTGTAATTCACACTTCGGACTTTCAACGTGAGAATCAATATCCTTGCAAAAAGGGAGCAAAACAAACGTAATGCATCGCCACCTTTGTTGCTCCAGCATGGAATTAGACACTTGGCAAATCTGTCACAGCCAGAAAGCGGCTACAATGAAGGGCGCCTGCACGTGAGCAAGTTGCAAGCAGTATGCACTCAGCCTACTTCGTCTAGCATTCGTAGATACGGCCCATTGCAAGTGAGCTGCCTTGAACAGTTTTTGGCTTCGGCAACAAAGTTCAGTAACAGCATCCGTTCTGCGTGGCAACAAGCAGCTTTTGCAGTTTTTGTTGCGTCTACATCAACTCATGTTCACACGCTTTTTTGTTTCCGCAGAGTATGTTTGTCATTTGTGAGGAGGCACATCTGGAATAGGATCATGTGCAGCAATCATCTATTTGGAAGTTGCCGTCAATGTGTTTGTGGTGATGCATGTTGAAATGTGTAGGAAACAATCACCCCTGGCACTAGCCCGCCCAAGTCAACAGAACTGTGGCCCTCACAAGGAATTCAAGCTTCACACGCTAGCCACGCTGCCGTTGAAGCGGGAAGCTGCGTTGGTTACTCGCAAGCTGCTTCTAGTTTCTCGCCAACTCCTGGCCACACATGAAGCACCACCGACTGTTCTTCCTACGCTGCCCCGTCTCCAGCTCCTCTTTCTTTTTTGTTTTTCATTTATTTCCCCTCTCTCCCTCTCTCCCTCCTTTCCCTCCTTTCCCTCATTTCCCTCCTTTCCCTCCCTCCCTTCCCTTTGCCTCCCTTGCCTCCCTTCCCTCCCTCCCCTCCCTTCCCTCCCTTCCCTCCCTTCCCTCCCTTCCCTCCCTTCCCTCCCCTCCCTTCCCTCCCTTCCCTCCCTTCCCTCCCTTCCCTCCCTTCCCTCCCTTCCCTCCCTTCCCTCCCTTCCCTCCCTTCCCTCCCCTCCTGCTCCCTTGCCTGTCCCCTCCCCCATCCCTTCCCCTCTGGTTTTTGATGTTGGTATCTCAAGCACCAAGGAAGCGGCAGCTCAGCTCTGAGTCGACTGCTTCCTATGCCTCAAGTGCTAGTCAGCGATCTCCGGACAGAGAGATCTTTCCGTGAATCTTGAATTTAGTGCGCCTGCGGGAGACTTGGCATTTAAAGGCCAACGCATAGCACCCACGACGCTTTGTACAGCTTTGCATCAAGTGTTTAATCTTCTGCCCAGGGGAGCTTTTTAAGCCTCCAGGGCCAATATAGAAGTGGCGAGTGGCCTTTTACAATGGCCGCCGCTGAAACCCTCGGCAGCACGAGCTGGTTCCTTAGCCAAAACGTGACGCAGCAGCGGATGGTGTCCTGAACAGCTGTTTGTGTCGCTTTGTCTCTGGATGTGAACCCTGGTCCAAGGGGCAGGTTTCGCGTCTCTTATGATTACTGAACTTTAGCATGCCTCAATCATCTCTTGAGCTTCGCAACAAACGTGGAAGCCGGGGCAGCTGCTGGAAGACTGCCATCGTGTACACGTAGCCTTCCTCTCATGATTGTGGTGGGGGATTGAGCAGTGTGCATCCCTTGACATGTGCCAATTCTGAAAAATCGAAACGAAGCGACGATGTCATCAGACCACCCCCACCGACGCGGTCTTGAGAAAGGGGCTGCTTTTACCCAAGCGCCACCATAAGCCAACCCAAGCCCACCTCGAATCTACTTAAAGCCGATTGATATTTCCCAGCGCGCAGTGTTGTAGCATCTTGTCGAGAGAGCTACCTGACGCTCAACAGAACAACATGTGCACCATGCCTTTGCCCCGAGAACCTCATGCATTTTAAGATTGTTGGAGGTGGGCTGCTCGCCTTGATTGCGCGTTCTTCAGCGGTTCTCCGGCATTTTGTGGCAAGGTTACAAGATTAGGGGGAAATCGGCTATTTTCCAGTTTCTTCCGGAACCCAAGGGGTGGCTGAGCTTGGTCTAACTTGCATGGCCCACAGATTTTGCGTGCGTGCATCCGGCATCAAGAGCCATCGAGCCATCTTGCAGCGGGGTGGATCAAGGGCAGCAGCCCTTCTCTTCCCGCACCCATGGAATGACCTTTGCGAAGTTACGCGAGTCTCATGGGCCACTCCGCATCCGCAGAATGCCCCGCCGGACCTGCCTCACCCTCCCCGAGCAGTCTGCTTTGGGTCAAGGTCCGGGCGGGCTGCAAGCTGCAAACCCCAACCACGGTGAACGGGGATAACATCGTGAAGGTCTGCAGGTGGCTAGTAGGGCGCCCCCACACCTGGCGCGTCTATGCCACGATTTCCGTGGGAAGAGGTCAGGGTCAGACTGAGATTGTGGAGGTCCCCAGCAGTGGAGATGTGAACTTCAACCACTCCTCGGTGCCCTTCACTTTGGAGGACATCGTGGCCTTCGAACGGGGCGTAGGGCCTCGTGCCAACTCTTTGGCATCCATGTCCCTGGCCTCCACGTTGCTGGACCGGCGCCTGCCGGAGATGACCATCAAAGTGTACAGGGTGAGGCGGCTCTGCCAGGAGGGCTCGGGGTGGTTGCAACATGTCTTGCCCCAAGAAAACCAGCCTAACCCCTGGTTCCCCTTGCCAGGGAATGAAGGTTGTTGAACGCAGGGTTCAAGCCCGTGAGCAGAGGATGGCCTTTCCCGAGTTGCCAGGACGCCCTGGTGGGAGTGGCCCGGCTTCCCATCAGCACCACCGAGCTGGCTGGCACCTCCCGGGATCATACCATCTTCCTGCCCAACAGCTGCGGTATGATCACCGTCCGGTGCAGCTTCTTGCCAACAATTCATTCAGCAGCCCAAGGGGGTACCGGAAGTCGGCGGAAGCTTCGTGCTGGCCCGATTTCTGTTTCCATGTTTCTTGAATAGGCCGTTGGATCCATTGTGGCCAGGGGTGCAATGCATGGCGTAGTCAGGTGTCTGGCATTCCAGTCCCAGAGTTTGCCAGAGTGGTTTTCCTTGCCTCGCGTTTCTCTGGGCATGTCAAGTTTCACCACGCCAACGTAGCTCGTCAAACCAAGCTGAACCGATGCGTTTGGGTGTGGCTCCCAAAAAGAAGGAACGGGCCAAGGTGACGCAGGTTCTAATCTTTGGTTCCACTTGCCAGTTCGTCTATGCTGGCACTTCTTTTTTGGTCGAGCCGGCCGTTTTTTGGTCCCCTCCCCTCCCCTCCCCCCCCTCCCCTCCCCCCCCTCCCCCCCTCCCCCTGCGTCTGTTTTTGACCAATGTTGATCGCCCGCAACCATTTGGCTCAAGGCCCTTCTGTACCATAGCAATACTCATGATTGCGTGACAAAGGAACCTTTGCAGGTGTTTAGAGGATTATACCACAAGTCAATTTACAATCCATCCCCCAATCATCCATATTGGCATATTGGACTCTCCGGAATAGATCCAGAGGGTACCAGTTCTCTTCTGGGATAGGCACCTCCGGCAGTGACCTGTGGTAGCGGAGCAGGTTTTCCGCAGAGATCCAAGGAAAAATGTCATCCGATGGAGAAGGCTTCATGGAGGCCTATTCAAGTATGGCCAAATCATCCGGCTATACGGAGGAAACACTCAACTTATCGATGACCGCCAAGCAGCCGCCATCGTACGACGGAAAAGTCAGCTGGTTCAGGTATGAAGAACTCGTGGACGACTGGGTGACAATCACCACGGTGGAAGCACCCAAGAGAGGACCACTCCTCAAAAGCAGACTCACAGGAGATGCTTACATGTACAAGGCAGTCCTCCAAAATGACCTTTTGCAAGATCCTGATGAAGGAGTCAACTATTTCAAGAACACGCTGAAGAAGTACTTCCTGAAGGGTGCGACCAACGTGTATCTGTACAGGCTCCTCAGTTTCAGCAGGACGCATTTCCCTTCGGGGATAATCTCATTGCGCAGTTTTTCATCATTCAGAGTGAATTGTCAGATCAGCAGAGAGAGAGACTGACCAGTGCCATGTCACTGAGAAACATTTCACTCGAGCGCTACTCCTATGAGATGCTGAAGACGCATTACCGTGAACTCTTCATCACGACCAGGACATCCATCCAAGATCCATCCATCCGACCTCCAGGAGGCAACCGAAGCAACACATTCTTCATCCTCGAACAAGGCGAATACGAAGGAGAAGAAGGCTTTTGGGTTGAAGATGAAGATGGACTTGAAGGATTCATGTCAAACAACGATGAAGAGACATTCTGGGTCCTTGAAGAGAACGATGCGTTCATAGCAAGAAAAGTGTCAGGGCGGAATTTCAGATTCGAAAAGAGAAAAGGAAAAGGAAAATCAGGAAGCAAAAAGGGCAGTCACCAACGAGGTGGCTTCAAACCCTTTCGAAAAAGCGGTTCTGGCGGGCAGGCCAATATGGCCAATGAAAATTATGATCCCTACGACCAGGCATATTGGGGAAAAGGCAAAGGAAAGAAGGGAAAGAAAGGAAAATCGGAATTCCAATATCCCTATGATGGAAGCAAGGGTTATCCATCCTATGAGAATGGCAAAGGAAAGGGCGGACATGACAAAGGAACATCCAAAACGTTCGCAGCTATCTCATAGAAGCCGGAGGAGCATCCTGCCACCAAGATTGGGATCAATCATGGACATGGAACGAACAAGGCTGGTACTCATCCCATGAGACATCCTAATGGCATTCCATGACGCATATGAGCATCATGAGAAAGAAGCCCTCCACGGGAAGCTGATCCAATCAGATTCAGTTTCAGAACACAATTTGTCCGTAACAACAGATCACAGCCTTTTGGCAACAAAGCTGATGGTGCCCTCAGCACAATCCGACCTATGCGATCCTGGACAACGGATGTACCAGATCCATGGGCAGCTGGGCCATCGAACCCATGAAGGACCTCATCTCCTATCAGTACATCCCGGCCGAGACCAAGTTCACTTTTGCAAACGGAGAAACAGCCAAGGTAAATTGGACCTTGCATCTCCGATATCACACAACTCCTCCATGCAGTGCCAACATCGACGTCCTTGAGCAAGGAACTGTACCGATCCACCTCAGCATCAGTCAGATGCGGAACCTCTACATGACCATCGAGCACACACACCTCAATGTGACAAGATCACATGCAAGGCCTTTGGCATGAACCGTCGGTACAGGACATGCACTCGTCGACCTCGCTGGAGTTGCAAGAGTGAAAACATGGAGAAATTGCCATCAAGGGCCTCACCAACTACGTCTACGATGATGACAACAGCATTAAGTTTCCCTCCGGGGATATCTCCAAGAGTGAAACTGTTTGTGCATCCAAATCATCCGAGACGAAGGAGGACCTAGCAACTCCTAAATCATTGGGTCTCAAAAGCAGGACCATTGGATCCTTGACAAGAAGAACAAGCAGCTCATCCGTGTGCGCATCACGCCTCGCAAGACGCTGTTCACACCAAATGGAGCCAAGGAATGTCCAACCAATCCTGATAACATCAGCCGAGAGCGTACCACGGAAATCATAGATGCATCCGAAGGTGGAGATCCAGACATCCTAGAAGACAATTGGAGACTTACATCCCAGGCAAACAAACCAATGATTAACCTGTGGAAAGGTAAGACCATTTTCACCTTCGCGGACAACTCGCTTAAGGACGAAGAAGCAGGTTCCGGATCGGCAGCAGACAGGATCATCGACAAGAAGGGCTGGTGGTCGACCGTTCATTGAGCCAGATCCTTTCGCACCATCCTCAGATGAACCAACATCGCTTCCGATTGCCCTAGGCAGAACCCACAAGCGATTGTCAGCTCCACCTCCAGCATCATCGCATGACAACAGATCAATTTCGATTCAGAACTCGTTCGCTTCACTTGCCAAAATCAACAATCGATCTATTTGACAAAATCCGAAGTGAATGTGAAGTTTGCCAAGCGGCAAAACCATCACCATCACGAAGCAAGACGAGTGGACCTAGAGCGGACACCTTTGGTGACATGACATTCATTGATCACTGTCAAGTTCCTCTTGGAACAGGAGAACACATCATTGTTTTTGTCATCCTGGATGGAGCAACAACATTGCTCACTGCAGAGGCAGTGACAACTACGCAAGAAGTCGAGAACATCACTGTCCTCAGGAACTATTTTGACCAGTACCACTTGCAGCCCAAATCAGTTGTCGCAGATCAAGCCTTCATGACGGAGACATGGGAACATTTCTATCAATCCCTTGACATCACACCGATATCCTTGGGACCGAACACACCATGGCCAAATCGAGCTGAAGCTGCAGTTCGACTCCTGAAGGCACAACTCAAGATCATGCTAAGTTCCATCAAGGCAGGCGCAGCACCTGCAACACTGAAGAAAGTGACATATAGACAGCTGGTGAAGGCAGCTGCAACTGTCAGGAATCAGACTGTCACCTACGGGGGTGTAACACCATTGGAACTCGCATTCGGAAGACGACCAGCAGATCTCATCCAACTCGATGTCGCAACACCAACTCAGTTGACGATTGACAGGAATGAGGAAGAGCTGACAGCCATCCAGATCAAGCAGCTGTCTAAGCAAGCATTCCAAGAAGCACGTCAATCCGAAGACATCCGACGAGACCTTGCTCAAAATCTCCGAATGAGTTCTAAGCCTCTTCAGGTGAAGGACAAGGTATTTTACTGGCAGGAAGACAAATCCAAGATCCGTTCCGATGGAAGCAAGGGAGGAATATGGCTAAAAGGAAAGGTCATTTCCATCGAAGGAGCAATGGTAGGACTTGATCTTGGGACTCGACTCATCAAGGTTAACATAACGAAGGTCAGAAAGGATGAAACCATCCCTCCGGGGAAACCTGGAATTGATCTTCTCTTACCAGAAGAGCGAGAATCCTTGCAGAAAGGGCAAGCCGGCTCCTCAGCCGATTCCAAGAAGAAGGAGTCATCCGCACCAGCTCCTAAGCCAAAGTCCTCAGTGCCATTACGCATCGCGGGAAAGACAACTCCCAAGCCTGCAGCACCTCATCCGGCAGAGAACATGTTCGTCGAGGACCTCACATCCGTTCCTGAACAAGCACTTTGGAATTGTGTACGTAAAGGAAAGATCCACGTTCTCGAGATCTTTGCAGGAAGTGCCAGATTCAGTCAATGCTGCGCACTTACAGGTCTTAAGGTTGGGACTCCCGTAGACATCTGCACCGGATTCGACGTAATGACATCCAAGGGACGACACATGGTCATGGAGACCATCAAGGAGCAAGCGTCTGATGTAATCCTCATGGCACCGGTCTGTGGACCGTGGCCAAATATGCAGAACATCCAACAAGACCAAAAGAGTCTGGGAGAAGCGGAAACGCTATCTTCCCATGGTTGAGTTTGTGGCATCCATTGCGCGATATCAGTTGAAGCACGGAAGATACTTCATCATTGAGAATCCTCAGACATCCAAGATATGGTATCTGAAGTGTATGCAGCAACTATTTTCAGATCCATCCGTGACCTGGGGAAATTTCCATTTCTGTGCATACGGACTGAAAGATCCTGAATCCAGACTCAGAAGTCTCAAGCCCACGAGCTTGATGCACTGTTTACCTCCCGAGGTAATGATCAGAAAGTGTAAGAATTTTACTAGCTCAGTCAAACACAAACATCAACCCCTTTCGGAAGCAGAACCAAACTGGCACAGGTGTATCCTTTCCAGTTCTGTCAGGATCTCGCGCACATCCTCCTGCGACACTTGAAGGTGAAGCCACTTGACAACGAGGTGTATCTCTTGGAGGACTTTTTCGAACCATTCACCATCAAGCAAGTTGACATCCTAAGAAAGGAGATGGAAG